CCCTCCCCAACTGGGGAGGATGGGGAAGGAACAGATCCTCCACCTCCAGAAGCACTCTACCTGCAAAGACCCCTGGCAACCAGCTTTTTCTTTGCAATCTTCTCTGGGATTCATCTTATCCACCTTATTTAACCAACACGTGTTTTTGAAAAAAGCATTGGGGTCTTTCATTAAATGGGGTTTGGGGCAGAAGGGTTAAAGACCGCTAATAGATCACAGGGGAGGAAGGAGATCAGTCACTAACCCAACACCTTCTCCCCATCACACAATCCTTCTGGCGCCTCCCCAAGATTAAAAATAGGGTCCAACGTGTAGATAACTCCATACCTTAATTAAGACATACATGCCACGGTGGGGTGTTGAAAAGGGGGGGTGGGGGCGGTCAGATGGGGCGAAAGGCCGAGAACAAGAAATAGTAAAAACTCCACGGCGATTCCGGGACCCCTGCCCAATGTTGACACTTCCCCACTCCCTTGTCACCGTTCATTTATTTATTCTTCCAATTTAAGACCACCGAAGTGAACTCTTAAAAATTAAAACAAAAACAATGCATGTAACCCTAAGGAACAAGCCGGCAACGTGCCGAATTGCGCCCAGCCAGCAGCTGCTCGGAATCGAAAAACGCTCATCCTGGCAACCAGGCTAACCATACTTAAGGGGATTTAAAATGTGACCATCATCCTGAGCTGGGCTCATTTCTGAAATGCCAGCTTCTGTGGGTGACAAGCAGCCAAGGCACCTGACAGAGGAAGCCGCCTTGACCTGTTCTGCTAAGCCAGGAGGAATTCGACTGGCCTCGGGTGCAGCAGAATGTAGAAACCAACAAACCACGAATCCTGGTTTACGATGCCAGGATTTCTTTCTCCTTGGGAAAGGCTTCACGGTTTTGCAAAGGCTTGGAACCAAACCTCAGTTTTGAATACGGCCTCTCTAAGTCTATCTGGCAGTGTGTTTGTGTGCGTGTGTTAAATTAAATGTGATAAAAATTAACGGCGCTACGATTAAGGCTCTGTTCGCAGAAGCTGCCCCCTAGTGGTCGTAGGTTAAACTATTTCCTTTTAAAACAATTTCCTTTTATGAGTTTCAGGTTGAAAATAAATTCGTCTTGCTTGATTATTTATTTCAGCTCTGTTTACGAACTTCCTTACCCCTGAGGACTAGCAACATTTTTTTCTCCTTTTATAGCCAGAGGCTGAGATGCGTAGAATTTCCACCCACCCACCGTTGATCACGGTATTAGCCTTTGATGAAATGGCAAAATCGATTAATCCGAATCGAGAGAGTCACAAATCCTAGGGATAAGAGATTTCGCAGCCTCCGCATTCTTTGGAAACAGATGGCTTTTAAAAATAGTTAGGCCGGGTTTAAATGCTTTCGGGGGGGGGGGGGCTTAAAATAAATGAAAAGATTGGGCACCCTGAGGGACAGCCTCAGCCAATTACTTTGACTTTCCCTTCTGCTAAACTTTTGATCCTTCTTCCTGTGTTAAGAGCAAAATCCGAAAACCAAAGCTTTTCTTTATTCTTCCTTATTATTCACGCTGCACGGATTTATATCCAAAGCAGAACATCTTGACTCAGTCACAGTTTTGTTCCGTGTAGCATCAACCTTGTGAACACACAAGTTTCCTCTTTTCGCTACGTCTTCAAAATGGACAGTGATTAATCTCTATATCTCTGTATCTCTGTATCTCTCCCTCTCTCTCTCTCTCTCTCTCTCTATCTATCTATCTGAATAGAACAGAACAGAAGAGAACAGAACAGAAAGAACAGAATAGAACAGAACAGGAGTAGAAGAGAACAGAACAGAAGAGAACAGAACAGAAAGAACAGAATAGAACAGAACAGGAGTAGAAGAAACAGAACAGAACAGAACAGGAGTAGAATAGAATAGAATAGAATAGAATAGAATAGAATAGAATAGAATAACAGAGTTGGAAGGGACCTTGGAGGTCTTCTAGTCCAACCCCCTGCTTAGGCAGGAAACCCTACACCACTTCAGACAAATGGTTATCCAACATCTTAAAAACTTCCAGTGTTGTGAACATTCACAACTTCTGGAGGCAAGCTGTTCCACTGACTAATTGTTCTAACTGTCAGGAAATTCCTCCTTAGTTCTGAGTTGCTTCTCTCCTTGATTAGTTTCCACCCATTGCTTCTTGTCCTGCCTTCTGGTGCTTTGGAGAATAGCTTGACTCCCTCTTCTTTGGGGCAGCCGCTGAGAGATTGGAAGAGTGCTATCACATCTCCCCTAGTCCTCCTCTTCATTAAACTAGACATACCCAGTGCCTGCAATCATTCTTCATATGTTTTAGCCTCTATCTATCTATCTATCTATCTATCTATCTATCTATCTATCTATCTATCTATCTATTGTGAAGGTATATATTTACATATGTATATAGCATGTGTGTATGTGCATTGTGTATGTGTTGGGTAGATATACATTTTCTCTTGAGACCAGGCAACAGAATTTCATTTTTAATGTGGGCCAATGTGCTCGTAGTAAAAAAAAATGACAATAAAGTTACCTTATCTTTTCTGAGCTAGTATTGGCTGGATCGTACCCTGTTTCCCCGAAAATAAGACCTAACTGGAAAATAAGCCCTAGCATGATTTTTCAGGATGCTCGTAATATAAGCCCTACCCCCCAAAATAAGCCCCAGTTAAGATCGTCAGCAGACGGAGGTGTTTAGTATTGTATTTTCCCCAAAATAAGACCTAACGGAAAAATAAGGCATAATGCATCTTTTGGAGCAAAAATTAATATAAGACCCAGGGGTCTTATTTTGGGGGGGAAACACGGTATTAAGCATAATTATCTTCCTTTGGGGCTCATAGTCAATGGTTAATGACCACTGCAAAACATGTTGTAAAATTGAGTCAGTCTCCCGAGTGACTTGATTTACCACCGTCATGACATATGACGGAATTCAGGGCTCCATTACAATCGTAAATTGAGGATTACCTGCATGGGATCATTCAAAAGCCACACAAACTCTTGCGTGAAATGTTCAATTCGTGTTTTTTTTTTTTTTTTTTTAAATTGTACATTCAATTAAAACTGATGAAATTTTGGGTGTTAACCTTAACGATGGTGTTAGAGTGCTCACAAACGCGATTACAGCTAAGACATAAATGTTGACAGAGGCTTGTAGGTCCTAAGCTGGAGTTTTTTCCCCTCTTCCTTTCTCCTAAGCCTCAGAACGAGCAAAAGAAATAGAGGTAGTCCTTGACTTGCAACAGTTTGTTTAGCGACCATTCAAAGTTACGGCGGCACTGAAAAATGCGACCTACGGCCATTTTTCACAGTTACGACCTTTGCAACCTCCCCCTGATAATGTGGTCAAAATTCAGACGCTTGGCGACTGACTCATACTTACGACCGTTGCTGTGTCCCCAAGGTCACATGACCCCTTTTTGTGACCGTCTGACGAGCAAAATCAATGGGGGGAGCCAGATTCACTTAACAACCGTGCCACTCACTCATCGACTGCAGTGATTCGCTTAACAACTGAGGCAAGAAAGGTTGTAAAATGAGGCAAAGCTCACTTAACAATTGCCTCACTTAGCAACGGAAATTCGGGGCTGAATAAAGGAGAAGATTTGTAGCTCAGGATTGACAGGAAGGATCCTTGATGCTCTCTCTGTTTTCTGGCAGGCGTTTCATGACCCAACTAGCTAACACCATCAGTGCTAGTAAGGAGTACTAGCTGAAAGCAAACAGCACTTACTAGCACTGATGATGTTAGCTAGTTGGGTAATGAAACATCTGCCAGAAAACAACCAAGTTCACAGAGCATCAAGGATCCCTCATTTCAACCCTGAGCTACAAATTGATTTCCTTCCTTCCTTCCTTCCTTCCTTCCTTCCTTCCTTCCTTCCTTCCTTCCTTCCTTCCTTCCTTCCTTCCTTCCTTCCTCTTTGGTACTAGCACTGATTTTGTTACCTAGTTAGGGTAATGAAACGCCTGCAAGCAAGCTCAGAGAGCACCAAGGACCCCTCATTTTGGGCTGAATTCTGGCCATACGTCGAGGATTACCCATCGAGAAGATTTAATTTTGCCAAGGTATCCTTCCCGCTTTGGCCTCTCTCCCACCACTAGAGGCAGCAGCGTGTCGTTCTGGGAAGCGGAATCCCTCGCCCGCTGGCTGCCGGCTGCACTAACCCTCCAGACAGGTGTCCCCAACTGGGAACTTTACAGAGCCGCTTCCACGTCTGCGAATGAGTCATGAATAAATTAACCAAGGTGTGCTCTTTCTTTCAGCGCTGGGGATGATCCAGAACCCCGTCCGGGTTGTCCCGCCCTCCCTGTCACCTCAAATCCCAACCTCTTGATGGACATTCTTGAAGGAGACACGCCGCAGCCCAAGAAAAACAGGAACCCACCTAACCAGTTTCGGAGGAAGAGATTTCCACAGCCCGCCCTCCCGTCATCGCCTCCCCTACGTGACAAATTGGAAGGATAATTTTTTTTTACAGAGAGAGGTGCTAATAACCCTGGCAGATGGTTGGCTGCTGGGCGCAAAGTCTGATGTTTTTTAACACCCAGAACCACAACACCTCAACACCTATTTGTCTCAGGAGAAGTCAAGAAATTTCTCTGCAAACAGGCATTCTTCCCTGCCTCTTCACTTCCCCTGCTCAGCCCCTCCCCTGGATCCCGTCAGTCACTCAGGACAAAAACTGAACATCCCTAGAAGTAAACCTGAAGCATCTTTGTACCCTTTTTGGAATACAGAGAGAAGGACCAGAAACAGTTGCATAAATATATTAGGCAGGCTTTCCAAATCTGCTAACCCAGGGAATTTAATCAAGCGAGCGGAGAGGAGTTGGATCGTGCCTTAGTTAAACTGTGGAACTCCCTGCCACAAGAGATACCGGGGCATCTCTCATTAGGAAAGAAGATTGGGGAGGTTAGCAGAGAACAAGGCTGTCTCTGGTTTCATCCTGGTCACGGGGTTGTCACACAGGGACATCTGTAAGAATTATAATTATTACCTCCGTGAGTTATGGGTGCTCCATCGCTCGAAGTCCTCAAGAAAAGACTGCTGGGATGGTATGTAAGATCTCCTGCTTTGAGCAGGGGGCTGGATTAGAAGACTTCCAAGGCCCTTTCCAGCCCCTGGGATTCCATGAAAACAAGACCAGACATGAGCCTTCCTTCCAAAACAAACTTGGAGTTTTGGGTCCTGTCCAATTCACTTCTCATCATCTGGTCACTAAACGCAGCAGCAACGGGTGAGACGGGCAGCATCTACACTTAATAAAGAAAATATCCTCCTAAAAGTAGTGTTCGTTGCAAATAGTAAACCAGATTTCAAGGGGTTCAAAGAAGAGTGTACTTACAACCATCTCCTTCTGTCCCCACTTCACAGCCCATAATCCTCTCTGTCTCGCCCTTCTTGCACAGGGATACAGCACCTCCCTCCTCACCTGTCCCATCCGAGCAATTTGGGCTAACCCAATAGCTGGTGAAACACTGAATATATATAGATATAGATATAGATATAGATATAGATATAGATATAGATATAGATATAGATATAGATATAGATATATAGATATAGATATAGATATAGATATAGATATAGATATAGATATAGATATATAGATATATGTATGTATGTATGTATGTATGTATGTATGTATGTATGTATGTGTGTGTGTGTTTTTCCTCTAGCCAGATTTTTCCTACATAACCAAGGTTTTTCTGCAGCCCTAGCTCAGTAGAATCACATCTACTCACCTGGCAGCAAGAACTTGCTGGCTGCCAGAAAGAAAAAAAGCCCAGAATCGAGTAGATGTGATTCTACTGAGCTAGGGCTGCAGAAAAACCTTGTTACGTAGGAAAAACCTGGCTAGAGGAAAAACACACATAAATCCTACAAAGAAGTAAGAATATATATATATATATGCATGCTGAAAATAGTTTGTTTTGAATGCAACTGCTTGAGGGCTCCTGGATTGGAGCTCAAAGAGATGCAGTTTGCTCCAGGGATGAAATGCTCCCAGTTCGGACCGGATCACACGATCTGGTCTGATGGCAGACCGGATGGTTCGGCGATGGCGGACCGGATGGTAGCGATGGCGGTGGGTGGTTCAGAGAACTAGTAGCAAAAATCCCTGCGTTCCCCCCCCCCCCACATGCCCAGCTGAGCCACGCGATCATCAGAGGCTGGGTTTTTTTTACTTTTTAAAGCGTTTTTTCTACAACTTCTTCGGCCGAAAAAATGCTTTTAAAAGTTTAAAAAAAAAAAAAAGCCTCTGATGATCGCCCGGCTCAGCTGGGATCATCAGAGGCTTTTCAAAGCACTTTTTTTTCTGCAACCCCTTCGGCCAAAGAGGTTGTAGGAAAAAAAATGCCTTTAAAAGCCTCTGGCGATCCCAGCTGAGTTGCCTGATCGTCAGAGGCTTCTAAAAGGCCTCTTAAGGTTGTAGAAAAAAATGCTTTAAAAAAAAAAAAGTTGGCCACGCCCACCCAGTCACATTACCCCCACCACCACCAAGCCACGCCCACAGAACCGGTAATAACAAATTTTAGATTTCACCGCTGGTTTGCTCCATCCCACATGCTGGGGTAGACCAGGTGTCTCGATAGAAAAATATATATATTTGTGTGAAAAAGAGTCATACGTCACCTTTTCCAGTGCCCTTGTAGCTTCCAATGGTCACTGAATGAAAAGTTGTAAGTTTGAGGACTACCGATGTTTTTCTGCACTGACCAATCGCCCCCCACGACTTAAGATTGTCGGTGCCTCCAGAACTGTCAGCTGTAGCCAGGCCAACTTCGATAGGAGTTTCTTCTGGACCACTGAAGATAAGCAAGCAGCAGAAGAGGCCAAGACAAGGTTCATCAGTGCAGGTTCAAAGTATTTCCTCGTCCACGCTTTCCTTCACCCACCACGCCACATTACGTGGGACACTGCACTGCAGAAGTCACGAGGGGTGAAGTCTTGCAGCTTTGCAGCTCCCTGTGGATTATCAATTTATCGACCTATCAGCTTTGCCTTCCCGCATTTTGTTTAATAAGTAAGAGACCCCCTTTTTCAAATCGTAATAATTTCTTTCCTCTGCCGTTAAGCCTTCCCTTAAAGACTAACCAATTTATCGTGGCAGAAAGATTCACGGGTGAAAATGGGTTTTATTGTAAGAGGATGGAGTGGGAGCAGAAGTATTTTTAGCTTCCTGGTAGAGCACTCTGGTTTCCGCTGCAATAGATTTTGTTTTTTTAAAAAAATGTTCTTGAATAGGTCTCCAAATTGTTGGAGGTGTGAACACAAACAAGGGACATTCTACCACATGTGGTGGACCTGTCCTAAGATTAGGAAATTTTGGGGCAAGATTAAAAAATGGCTGGATGAAATAACAGGGCAGAAGATAGTAAGAAAGCCAGAACTGTTTCTCCTGAGTATTCTGGAAGGGAAAATGCAGAAAAGTATACAATATATCAGATTACACATATTAACGGCAAATAGAATTGTGATAGCACAAAATTGGAAACAACCAGACACCTCTCCAGATCAAATCATAATAAAAGAACTATACGAATGTGCAGAGATGGACAGATTATCTATGGAAATGAAGGAGAGGGAGGACACCGAGTACTATTTAATATGGAATAAATGGTATTCCTGGCTGGAGAGTAAAACATAAAATTTAAGGGATGTTTTTGTTATGAGATCGAATTGTAAAATAGAAATCAAGATAATTTAAATAAAGATGTAAGTTTAAGATAGAGATATTTAGAAGTAGAATTTGTGTAAAGACGCTAAATAGATTAGAGATACCGATGCAGAAAAGTTGTTATTAGTATTGAAATTTTGATATGCTTGTTTTTGGTTGTTTATATTTTTGGGGGGTTTTTTTGTGTGTGTTTTTTTCTTGCTTTATTTTTTTGTGTATTATGTTTCTTTTTGTACTGTGTATTTTAATCTTTGGAAATTTAATAAACATTATTTTTTTTAAAAAAAAAAGACATTGCCACATAACTTAGAAAGATGGTGCAGGATCCACTTGAAAATATTGTTTGGGTTTTCCTACGTGCGTTTCCTTAATTTCATTTTTTTTTTGGCCAAGGGTTCTTGTCAACTGCAGGAAGTCAGCCAAGCAAAACTCTGGAAAGAGCATGGAAAAACCTCTGCACAGTGATTTAGAAGTCACCTCTTTAAAAGAATTAAAAATAATAGCGATGAAAGAGGAAATTATTTATTTGTACAGTACTCGGGGAATGAAGCATTCCTGGCTGAGTTATTTCTCCTTGCCAACCAAACACAGAACCTGATGTCTTTCTGAGTAACCTGCTCAAAACACACTGGAATAACTAAATTATAGCATTTCTCACACCTGCTCTTTTCAGTTTAAGTAGGACCTCCCTGATGATCCAATATTGCCTGGTCCTCAGCCTTGATGGAGACTTAGGCTGAATTTCACACCATCGTTCCTCCACCTCCACCTCCTCCTCCTCCTCGTTCCTCCCCCAGAACAGTCTATAAAAGCTGGAGGAAAGAAGAAGAAGAAGAAGAAGAAGAAGAAGAAGAAGGAGAAGGAGAAGGAGAAGGAGAAGGAGAAGGAGAAGGAGAAGAGGAGAGGAGAAGGAGAAGGAGAAGGAGAAGGAGAAGGAGAAGGAGAAGGAGCTGCCCATTAGGACGTCAGACAAGCAGAACAAGGACAGTCTTCTATCTCCTGAGCTAACCATGCTGGTTTGACCACGTAATATATCTTGGGTTCTTCAGATCTGAAGGTCTGGTTTGGCAGAAAGCCACGATGAACAAGCAGAGGGTAGTTCATGTGTCCACCAAGCAGCCGAGCTACGCGGTTTGTGTGCTGGGGACGGAGATTTCCTTAGACATCAAGAGGTAAGTCCCGCGATTCTTCAAGAGAGTTTGTGTTGGGTGCAGAAAGAAGACCTCGTGGGGCCTGGTGGTCTTCCAATCTCAGCTTGGGTGATGCCTTTGCAAGTTCCTTTTTCTCCTTCCACTTCCACACCTCGACTAGGTGAGCTCCGTGGCTAAGACACTGAACTTGTCAATCAGAAAGTTCGGCAGTTCGGCGGTTCGAATCCCTAGTACAGGTGACAGTACTCCGTTACTGATCCAACCTCTTGTGGCAGACCACCTAAGGAGGCCCAGGAGGACAAGAGATGATATACGGGGGAGTAAAATGCAGGACAGATTAATATAAATGCTATTTAAAGTTTTTTAAAAATTAGAGTCGAATAAATAGTCTTCCCAAACGGTAGTTTAGAACTCACGACCGAGAAAACGACCGAGAACAATGCATTGCCAGAAATGAGGGAATGCAAACCCTCTCAAGGATCAGTCAGGAAATAAAGAAATCATTGACTCTTTGTTAGCCTCCTGAATTTCCCCAGGAGCTATTAATAATGAAAAATAAAGCTAATCCAAGTGTGTTATAGTTTTTTCTTCTAAAAAAACCCAAAGCTATCTTAAAAAAGAGAGAATGGAAAGAAAACAAAAGCTATCTCAGCTTTAGTTCTGCAGAATTTGATTATCGCTTGTTTTTCGGTCTCCTGAGCTTGCAAAAAAGCAAATTGGCTTCTATCTCAAGTTTCCTTCCAGATCAGCCTAGCTCTGGGGGAGCTGATGAATATTATCTATTTTGTTTTCTTGATAAGAGGAGCAAAATGCCTTTTTCCCCCCCCCCCCCCAGTCTTTCATAAAGGCAAAGAAGAAACGGGTAACACTGCAATCCTTCAAAATGAAGAATCTTTTTCTACCATCCTCATTTGGAATCCCAATGACAAGATTTGGGCTTCAGATCAAATCATATTACGATAACAGAGAGAGAGATTGAAAGAGAGGGCTTTACAATTAAGAAGATGACAAAATACAACCCAGCAAGTCGGAGGAAAAATAAAACTTTCCCTTGAATCTTCAAGGATGGGGTATCGGAATTGCTAAACCAGGGGTCAGCAACCTGCGGCTCTGGAGCCACATGTGGCTCTTTCACCCTTCTGCTGCGGCTCCGTCACTCAAAATATGGGTCACAACCGCCAATGTGCGACACCTGCCGGCACGCGATTTATTGAGCTTTTCAACCCCCGGTAGGCCAACCATGGATAAATCCAAGAAAAGAAAAGTTTCAGAAGAAAACAGAACCTTTAATTCAACTACATATGCTAGTTTTATGGCTGCTCAAAAAATAGTCAGGCACGGGAAGGGTTTTGTGGCTCCCTGTGTTTTCTTTTCTGTGGGAAACGGGTCCAAATGGCTCTTTGAGTGTTTAAGGTTGCAGACCCCTGCGCTAAACATACTAGGCGTGCAAAAACCTGAAATGCAGATGTGAGTGGTGCACACCCCTGGGAGCAAGGTGCTATTTCTGTTCCCTGTCACGCCCAGATGCGATTTATTTTATTATTTTTTTTTTTGCAGAAAAAATGTGCAGAGAACCAAATTGTGCAAAGGAAAACGAAAAAGTTGATAGGGAACTATGTTTTACAACTCCGAGGGATTTCACATGCACCGCTGAAAACACGTTCCTAAAAAAAAATTGAAAGATTTCTGGATGTTTTCTTCTCTTGCTTTTCAGCTTGCACTTTTCAGTGTGAGAGGGATAAGAAACCCTGTTGTGCCACATGCACAATTTTGGCATTAAAAAAAACCTTTTAAATGTGACACACACATTTCTGAGTCAACAAAAGTCAATCTGCTCCAAAAAATGGAGCTTTTCTTGCTGATGACATTTTCCACCGTTTATTTCAGCATGGCGGTGCATTTTATATTGTGATTTAAGAAACCATGGCTCAAGTGAGGAGGCATTGTTTAAAATGTGGGTGTAATTATATTTTTGGGGGTTCACTGCAATTCCTTCTAAAGTAAAGGTAAAGGTTCCCCTCGCACATATGTGCTAGTCGTTCCCGGCTCTAGGGGACAGTGCTCATCTCCGTTTCAAAGCCGAAGAGCCAGCGCTGTCCGAAGACATCTCCGTGGTCCTGTGGCCGGCATGACTCAACACCAGAGGCGCAGGAAACGCTGTTCACCAAAGGTGGTCCCTATTTTTCTACTTGCATTTTTTACATGCTTTCGAACTGCTAGGTTGGCAGAAGCTGGGACAAGGAACGGGAGCTCACCCCATTACGCGGCCCCAGGGATTCGAACTGCTGAACTGCCAACCTTTCGATCGACAAGCTCAACGTCTTAGCCACTGAGCCACTGCGTTCCATCTGCATTTCCTTCTAAGAGTACGCAATTGTTGTTCAACCATACAGGTAGGACAGAAAAACATGTCCATGCATTATTTTGAAAAAGGATAAAAAAACAACAATCCCACTGAGTAATACTGGGTCACCTTGGTGAGTAATTTGGAATGTGTGCAGGCTCAGAGAGGAAAACCACAGGATTCAGCAGTAAAAAAAAATCCTGGAATGTGGAATAAATAAGCAAAAGGGCTGCTTTTGATGCCACAATTTTTTTACTCAACCGTTTCTGGATCGCAGAAGATCCCGTCAAAACAAATTCATCATTCAAACTGTCCATCTCTAAAGGTTACCCAAAATTCTTGGTTACTTTCGTGGCTGCATCCAAAACTTTTCTTCTTCCTGTCAAACACCAAGGGTGCGCAGGAATTCTTTTTATGATCAGGTCAGTTAAACAGAAGGGACGCGGTAGCTCAGTGGCTAAGCTGCTGAGCTTGTCGATCGAAAGGTCAGCAGTTCAGCGGTTCAAATCCCGAGTGCCGCGTAATGGGGTGAGCTCCCGTTACTTCTGTCAACCTAGCAGTTCAAAAGCACGTAAAAAATGCAAGTAGAAAAATAGGGACTGCCTTTGGTGGGAAGGTAACAGCGTTCCGTGCGCCTTTGGCGTTGAGTCATGCTGGCCACATGATCACGGAGACGTCTTCGGACAGCGCTGGCTCTTCGGCTTTGGAACGGAGATGAGCACCGCCCTCTAGAGTTGGGAACGATTAGCACATACGTTTAATCTTTACCATTAAACAGGCCACCCTTTCTGCTTTTATTGATTTCTTGCCCTTTCTCTCCTTGGTGTACGCGGGAGTGTGCTGAGAGTGGGTTAAAAAAGTTTGCAGAGGGTTTTTAATTTTGCATGGCGGGATCAACTTTTAAGGAGCATTTTAATCCATGCCTTCCGCAGACGACGAAGGAGGAAAAAATCGGAGCCTCTTTTCATATAAATGGAAAGCAGCATTGGTATAAATTCTCACAGCAGAGCTGTTGGTCCATAGCTGTGCTACAATAGCTTGTAAATCCTGTGGAAGGCAGTTACAAGAGGAGACGGCGATAGAAGGGTTTGTGGGAAGATTTACAGCCATGGACTCTCCCCTTTTGAGTGTAATTGTGTGTACTGACAGAATAATATATCTCTTAACAAGTCGCTGCAAGACATTGAAGAGAGAGAAGAAAAGAAAGAGAAGAGAGCCTTTCCCTCTCTCCTTTTCTTCCTTCTTCTTTCCTACGTAATTTTTTCCCTTTTCTACCCTATAGCAATAGCACTTAGACACCGCTGCATGATGCTTTATAGCCCTGTCTAAGCGGTTTACAGAGTCAGCCTTTTTCCCCCAAACAATCTGGGTCCTCATTTTACCCACCTCGGAAGGATGGAAGGCTGAGTCAATTTTGATCCGGTTAGGATCGAACTGCTGGCAGTTGGAAGAATTAACCTGCAATGCCGCATTTTAACCACTTTGCCCCGGGGTGGGTTCTACTTACCTTTACTACCGGTTCGCAACGCTCACACACACACACACGCACTCTTCTGCGCATGGGGAGGGCCTTCTCTGTGGGGGCACCTACCCTCTGGAATCAGTTGCCCCCAGAGATAAGGAGAATCCAAGACCTTAGTGCCTTCCGCTGTGCCCTTAAAACCCACTTTTTCCAGCAAGCCGGGCTGACTTAAGAAGAAATTTTAAATGTTTTAATTGGTTTGTATTTTTAATTTTGGGCCAAATTTATATATATTTTAATTGTTTTTTAATATTTGTATTTTATGTTTTTTAATTCTGGCTGTACACCGCCCTGAGTCCTCAGGGAGAAGGGCGGTATATAAATTTAAAATAAATAAATAAAATAAATAAATGCGCAGAAGCATTTTGATGACATCAGGGTCGGTGGGCGGAGCCTCCCGCCAGTTTTACTACCGGTTCTATAGAACCGGTGCGAACCGGGGGCAACGCACCACTGCTTTGCCCCCACAGCAGGGGTGAAATCTGACAGGTTCTGGAGAACCGGTAGCGGAAATTTCGAGCAGTCTGGAGAACCGGCAAATGCCACCTCGGGCTGGTCCCAAAGTGGGGAGGGGGGAATGGAGATTTTGCAATATCTTCCTCCAGAAGTGGGGAGGGAATGGAGATTTTGCAGTATCCTTCCCCTGACACCCACAACAAGCCACGACCACAGAACCAGTAGTAAAAAATTTGAATTTCACCACTGCTCCATCATTCTTAATAGGAATAGCACTTAGACATGTATACCACTTCATAGTGCTTTGCAGCCCACTCTAAGCAGTTTTACAGAGTCAGCCTCTTGCCCCCAACAATCTGGGTCCTCATTTTACTGACCTCGGAAGGATTGGAAGGCTGAGTCAACCTTGAGCCGGTCAGTCGGGATCGAACTCCTGGCAGTGGGCAGAGTCAGCCTGCAATACTGCATTCTAACCACTGGGAAGGAAAGGAAGGGAAGGGAAGGGAAGGGAAGAAAGGAAGGAAGAAAGGAAGGGAGAGAGGAAGGAAGGAAGGAAGGAAGGAAGGAAGGAAGGAAGGAAGGAAGGAAGGAAGGAAGGAAGGAAGGAAGATAGCAATAGCTCTTATAGACCACTTCACAGTGCTTTTACAGCCCACTCTAAGTGGTTTACAGAGTCAGCCTCTTGCCCCCAACAATCTGGGTTCTCATTTTACTGACCTCGGAAGGATTGGAAGGCTGAGTCAACCTTGAGCCGGTCAGGATCGAACTGCCAAACTGTGGCAGCTGGCGGTCAGCAGAAGTAGCTTGAGACCACAAAGGCGCCCCAAATTTCTGTTGTTAAGTGAGATATTTGTTAAGTCCCATTTTATGACCTTTCTTACCGCAGTTGTTAAGTGAATCCCTACAGTTGATAAGTAAGTTAGTAACCCAGTTGTTAAGTGAATCTGAGCTTCCCCATCGGCTTTGCTTGTCAGAAGGTCGCAGAAGGGGATGACGTGACCCTGGGACATTGCGACCGTCATAAATACGAGCCAAGCATCTGAATTTCGATCACGTGACCGCGGGGATGTTGCAAAGGTCGTAAGTGTGAAACATGGTCATAAGTCGCATTTCTCAGTGCGGTTGTAACTTTGAATGGTCACTAACTGAACTGTCAAGGATTACTTATAATATTCCCCTCTCACTCATTTCTCTTTATTTTTTTTCTTTGCACATGCTCCAAACCAGTGATGGGTTTCAAAAACCTTTACTACCGGTTCTGTGGGTGTGGCTTGGTGGGCGTGGCAGGGGAAGGATACTGTAAAATCTCCATTCCCTCTCCATTCCAGAGGAAGGTTACTGCAAAATCCCCATTTCCACCAGATCAGCTGGGACTCGGGAGGCAGAGAATAGATGGGGGCGGGGCCAGTCAGAGGTGGTATTTACCGGTTCTCCGAACCACTCAAAATTTCCGCTACCAGTTCTCCAGAACCTGCTGAAACCGACCTCTGCTTCAAACCCAAACCTGGAGTAGCTGTAGCCTTCGGGCTTAAATTCACCCAAAAAGTAAGGATTTCCTTCTGGGTTTTGCAAGTCTTCTTCCTGGCTACAAATTCAGAAACTGAACACACACAGTGAGCAAACCCCAAAGTTGGCCATCGATGTTTGCAGTGCAGATAAAGCCCCGTCTCTAGATCAGTTCTTGAAAAAACAAGTACTGTAGAGTAATTCCACACATACCTGTGTTGTTTGGTTTGATCCTAGCTCCAGGCCCAGGGGGGCCACGTCTTTTGAAGCCCGTGGCACAGGCGGGCTCCAGGTCTACATGACCTATGACCCCAAACACCTTCCCAAGCCTGAAGGTTCGAAGAGGTGGCCTCTTGACGCAGACACCGAGGTCATCGTGTCTCTGAAGGCGGTTAGCAGTGCGGTCAACGACAACAAGGTGAGGGGGATATCTTTGTTGTGGCCTGCCAGCAGCCAGCAGATCTGGTGGCAGATTCGGATAGTGAGGAGGTTGGGGAGGAACATGGGCCAGTCCTGGAGTCTGGGGAAGGCTCTGATGAAGGCTCTGCGTCAGAGGCAGAGAGGGGGCCAGGGCCATATGTCAGTTATCAGCTGCCTTCAGAGTCGGACATCAGTGAGGCAGATGAACAGCTGGAGCCTGTTCCCAGTGTGCGCATGGGCAGAGTTGCCAGACGAAGGGAACAGCTAAAGAACAAGGGTCGACTCAGGAGTAAGGCCACAGGTGGACGATGAATGGCCCCTCCCAGAGGGAATAAAAGAGGAGCGAAAAGGGAATGGAGTTTGCAGGAGACAATTAGTTCGTTACTGCATTCTTGCCAAGTATCATAGGTGTCTGAAAGATATCGGCCTGGCCACTCTCCGAGCCTGATAAAGGTTGGTCATTGTGAACTATCTTGAAAGACTGTGGGAGAGGAAAGATTTGCTGGAGAGGAATTCACTGTGAATGAAATAAAGGGTTTTTTTTGTCCGGACAAGGAGTCTGCTTCGTGATTCAGAACAATGCTGACCTAGCATTGATGCTCCACTGAGATAGTGGGGAATAGCATCCCAAGGATCTTTGGGCCAGGTTAGCAGAGAGAGAGTCTTCAGAAGAGAAGATCAGAAATCCCAGAGGGGCCCTGAGCAAGGTCCTACTCATAAGTAAGCCCTTCTTGAGGTGTAAAGCTTAAGTTAGGAACTTCTTTGCGTTCACTTCTCTGTCCAGCCATCTGTATTTTCCTGGTGCATGACAGAATATGGGCTCAAACAGGTCGTGTTTCAACAGGAGGGAAACTGACATATTAACCTGTCTGACAGCTCAGCAAGTGAGTTGGCCATTTGTTCTTTTTGTAGATCAGAGTGTCCTATTACGATCGAACCGGGAGCACGCCGATTGCCGAAGCTTGGGTGTACATCACATGTGTAGGTAAGTACCAGTTTAACCCACAACCTGCACTTTCTCCTATGTTCTTAAGGCCCCCGGAGCAGGAGGTGGCACACCTCTCAAAAATTTCTCCATCCTGCAAGGGACGTTGTGGATTCCGGCTTTATTTTGGGTTAGCCTTGCAAAGTTTCTCAACAATTCTGTGTGAAGGGTAGGGTAGGTGGGATGCCATGGCAAACAAGGGTGGGAATTATAGTTTTGCTCACACCAGGTAACATGGAGGATAAACTTGTTTTCAAGCTCTTTTAGAGTCCTGGACATGAGAAGTGAAAGCACAAAGGCAGAAGAAAGATAATGTTTTAACTCTGTCCCTCTCTTAGCCCTTTCCCTGGATGCCGATACTGGTCGAACCGGAACTGTCCAGAACTACGCCACCAACAAGGTAAAGTTGGATGCAAGGATCTATTTCTGGACTCCATTGGTCATGCAGACTGAAGGACTCTTCTTCCAGAGCTATGGAACTGTTCTTTCAAAAAGTCACGTTGGGGAAGGGAGGTCAATAGAGACGTTCTGAAACATGGACAATATCTTCGCATTAAAGCTGAAAGAGATGTTGGAAGTCACGTTGGGTGCACTCAAGTCCTCCTTGACATGGTGAAATCCTTCACTTCTTTCTTCTTCTTCTTCTCCCCCACAGACCAAATGGACCTGGGGCCCAGACGGAGAAGGTGCGGTATTGCTGGTGAACTGTGACCGAGATGGTCCAAGCTATGGAAACATGGATCACACCTATCCTTATGTGCGATCCCAGGCAGGTAGGTGTTCAGGCATCCATATAACAATGAAAGAATGGAATCACAGGACATCTGGAGCCTTCTTCACGGTGGGACCCCATGCTTTGAGTCAACTTCTCCTGAAGGCCACTCTTGATGTCAACGCTCTTTGTGTTTTGGGGCCAGCTGAAGATTTCACTTTTTGGATTCAGGACTTTGTGGTTAAAAAAAAAACCTCCACCCCAAATACTCTCTATTATTGTATTTTGTTATTGCTGTTTGACATTTTAAAAGGATCATCTTTGTGACCTTGTCTTGTTTAATCCAACAATATTTATGGAGTGTCATTCACTTGAGGCTCTTAGGAGAATGGGGGGAATAATAAATGTTTGAAGAAGCAGTCACATCTGGGTAGGGCAGGTGGTTGGTAAGAGGTGAGCCAACCCCAAGAGAAAAGGAGGGCCAACGGCTGTCACTCTCCTCCTGGCTCTACTGCCTGAGGGTGACAGAAGAGGGAGCTGGTTCTGCCAAGGAAGCTTGGATGAGTTCAGGGTGGAATCAATTCAATCTCTTCTGATGAGGACAAGATCCAAAGCAGCATCCAGAAAACCCCTAATTAATGTAGGATCAAAGCTGTGCAGAAGTGAGAAATACACAGTGAAATCAGCAAGGTAGAAATCAAATAGATCAATTTTGCACCTTTCTTGGGATAATAAGGAAGGTCCTGGGATGACCAAATAAGGTTCTTGGGCATCCCATAATGCTAAGATCTCTCTGCAGAAAGATCAGCTTATTTTCCATCCTACACAAGCAATCCAAGAGCGAGTTCTTCACAACTCAAGACTCCACTTGGTGGGACCTCCAAGATGACGTTGCTGATGGCCTACTGTCTCCGTACCAAACCCTTGTCTCTTCTCTTTTCCAGATCTTCAGGACTTGTCCCTTATGATTCTCAATATCAACAGCCCCGCAGGGATCTTTGACAACCACAAACTGATCCTTCACATCTCCATGTTTGATGCTGCAAAAGTGAGAGTTTTCCACGCGGCTGGTAAGGAGCTAGGTCCTTGCTCCCTGGCTTGGTGGAGTCTTCCAGTGCTTATGGGTTAATATATCATCACGTTGCCTTTCCCATGGGTCAGCCCAACAAGGTGGACCAGACGAAGAGATCAAAGCCAACGAGATCAGAACTCCTCTTGATCACTCTTGATCTTTAGTTGAAATGGCAGAACCTTGCAGGTCTGGATGGGCTTACCTCATTTTTGATCTAAGGAGGGATCTGTCTTGAGAGATTTTCTCTGATGAGTTTCTTGGAACAGGATCACACACCACTCTTATGGGACCTTTCCCTTGGTAGCTGCTTCTCCTCCTGTCCCTCAGAGTCATTTTCTTGGTCTTCTACACAATGGAAGAGCTTGCAACATGCTTCCTGGGAATTGTGTGGAGGCTTTGTAGCAGGGGTGAAATGCTACCGGTTTGCACCGGTTCAGAGAACCGGTAGCGGGGGCACCCGCTCGGATGTTATTTTCGACCCTTTGTGCATGCATAGGCTTTGCGCATGTGCAGAGGATCCAAAATCGCATGTGACACACACACACACATACATGAGCGAAGCGAGCCAGTAGGGAAAGTAAGTAGATTTCATCCCTGCTTTGTAGCATCTGGTTGGAGAAGCCTCTATATAAAGTAGACAATTCGATTAAATGTCCATGCAGCTTGTGGGATATTTCAAGCACTGCTTTTTCTCTGTAGCCTGTGTCTTTCAGATACTCTCCTTTCTAGAAATCAACCAGACCAAAATGGGCTTTGTTTTCAGCCTCAAAGGAGATGCCACCATCTGCATTTGCAGTAGATCCAGAAACCATCTCCATTCTGAGAGTTTCTCTCTATTGCAAATTGGATGAGAGGCATTGGTTCCGTGGCTTATTATTATTTACTCCTGTTGGCTTCTTTATCATTGGATGGAAACCTCTCTGGATATGATGCTGTTCCCTCAACAGAAAACACTTCCGTCTCCCACTACGAGAACATATTGGGGTCAGACAAGCTGTCCTACACAGTGCAACCTACAGATGGAAGAGGACAGCATACGTTTTACGTGGAGGGCCTCGCATTCCCAGACGGAGACTTCAATGGCCTCGTGTCCTTAAACGCCACTTTGCTGGAGCAGACTAGCTCGGTAACATATTCATTCTTTATTGTAATTCGTGATCCATATATAGCCTGTTATTTTTGGTCTTTCGTTTCATTCTCAGTGTTTTGGGTGTGAGATGGGTTCTCCCTAGCCTTTATTCAGGGCTGAAATCCAGCAGGTTCTGACAGGTTCTGGCGAACCGGTAGCGAAAATTTTGAATAGTGCGGAGAACCGGCAAATAACACCTCTGGCTGGCCCCAAAGTGAGGTGGGAATGGAAATTTTGCAATATCCTTCCCCCAGGAGTGGGGAGGGAATGGGAATTTTGCAGTATCCTTCCCCTGCCATGCCCAAGCCATGCCCACCAAGCCACACCATGCCCACCAAGTCACGCCCACAGAACTGGTAGTAAAAAAAGTTGGATTTCACCACTGCCTTTATCCCTCTGCTGCTTTCCTGTCTTCATTGTAAAATACAGCATCCTGTATTGGTCACAACTATATCAGTTTGACAGCTGTCACTCTGGGGGAGCTAATATACCTGGGAAAGAACAATGAGTCAAAACAGGAAATAGTTCCTTTGAAGCCGCGGGCAATGCAGGGGAGATCCAGAGCTGTTCAGAGGGGCAAACATAACACCCAGATGTTTTCTTTGGATATAACCGTTGATATGTCTGGTTCAAAAAGGTTGAGACTCAGGTTAGTGAGAGATTGTTGTGGTCCGCCAGCAGCCTGTGGAGCTGGCAGAGTCAGACAGTGAGGAGGCTTGGGAGGAACATGGGCCAGTCCTGGAGTCTGGGGAAGGCTCAGACAAGGGCTCTGCGTCGAGGTAGAGAACGGGCCATCTGGGAGGTACGTACTGCCTCCAGAGCCTCCAGAGTCGGACCTCAGCGAGGCAGAGGAACAGTTAGATCCAAGTTAGAGTTGAAAGGTGCTGGTCCTAATTTGGTGCATTTTCTTCCCTCTCTTTCCAGACCTCACCAGCCACTCCTGTTTTCACGGATACAGTGATTTTCCATGTGGCTCCTTGGCTCATGACCCCCAACACCCAAAGGCCCCTGGAGATCTTCGTCTGCAGGTAGCCATGAAACACCAGCAAGATTCCCTTCCTGGACGTAACAAGACTCATTAACCAAAATAACCCTAAATTTAGATTTTCGGAAATGCATCTCCAACGAGAATTAATTCCTCAGGACAGGACAGGAATTTAACTGGGCAGTTATGAAAGAGGCTTCCTAAATTAAGGGAACATTCCTTGATCATCTAACTTTCTCAGTTGCAATTCCTATTGCCATCTTCTTTGTCATTTAGCATCGAGAAGGGTATAAACGCCAACGGAAAATTCCTGGAGGCGATAAAACTTCTAGCAAGGAAAGCCAACTGCAAATTAACCATTTGCCCAGAAGTTGAAAACCGGGGAGACCGCTGGATTCAGGTACACAAATTTGGGACCCAAACTTACACTAACTTTATTGTCACTTTGAATGTAGACTAATCGGCATACATTAAAATGAAATTTCTTTGCATACAACTCTCAAAGGGTTACTACCTCCAATATACACTACATAAACATGACAAAATAAAGAAATAAATACAAAATGATGCACTTACCTGCATATGACACAGAGAAACAACACAGTCTTGTTCGGATGTAAATATCAACTCGCAAGTCATCCCTGGCCTGCTTTCGAGTTGCCATAGGCAAGGGGAAACGAACTTGAAGCCACGGCAAAACAGCACAGCAGCCAAAAACAAAAGCACATTCCAGACATATCTCTGTCAAGGCTGTCTTCCGGGGTAACCCACAGTGGCCGGAGGGGTGCGATCTCTACAACCCACGAAATTGCTTCGTTGGCGAACGTGACTGATGACACACCTGGGGGGAAGGGGGAAACAGGGTCAAGCCTGGTCATAAATTACATGGGGTCAGAGTTGGCTTCACTTGGAACCTGCGGACATGAAGCTCCCAATAAATAACTGGATTTCTTTTGAAGCTTGGCTCGAGGCTCATGATTTAATTATGTACATGGCAAGAAAAACGAACCTTGAGAGTTTACCAGATGGATGACATAGGGAATAAAGCCGTTACAGAATCAGGTAGTCCTGCTAGAAATACTTCGAAAGCTCCTGCCAGAGCGGAGCAACAGGAACAGACCGTAAAGTGGGTGTGTGGGGTCTCTAACAATGATTTGAGCTCTAAGCACATCACGCTTATAAGCAATATCCTGTATAATGGGAAGCAAGCATCCTATAATCTTCTCAGCTGTCCTCACCACTCTCTATATGGACTTTCTATCTGAGGCTCTGCTGCCACCAAACCAAACAGTGATGCAGTTTGTTAAAACGCTCTCAATTGTGCCTCTGTAAAAAGTGGCCAGGACAGAAGGAGAAAGATGTGCTCTCCTTATCCAACGCAGGAAATGCAGACTGAATTCCCCTTGACCAAAACTCTTCAGCAATTAATCAATGAAAATGAATTAAATGATCACTAGAATGGCTTGGCTCCAGAAGCTGTCGGTTTTCTTAAAGAAGAGACTGGAAAGGCATTTGTCTGGAATGGTATAGAGTCTCCTGCTTGGTCAGGGAGTGTTATGGTCCTCCAGCAGCCTGCGGAGCTGGCAGCAGAGTCGGACAGTGAGGAGGCTGGGGAGGACCATGGGCCAGTCCTAGAGTCTGGGGAAGGCTCGGACAAGGGCTCTGTGTCGGAGGCAAAGAAAGGGCCATTTGGGAGGTACGTGCTGCCTCCGGAGCTTCCAGAGTCGGACCTCAGCGAGGCAGAGAAACAGGGGGAGCCAGTTCCCAGTGTGCGCATGCACAGAGCTGCCAGTAGGCAAGAACAGCTAAAACAAAAGGGACGACTCAGGAGTAGGGCTTGGAGATGATTGGCCTCTCCCATAAGACTTAAAAGAGGAGCAAAGGCACGTGGGCCTTTGCAGGAAGCAACGTTGTTAATTCTGTGCAGTTTAAAGTCTGAAGCTTTGTTTGATTCTGGATCCCGTTTGGCTTTGCCAATTAGGTCTTTGGCAGCGTGTCAAGGGAGATAAAGGTGGGTGATTATTAGCTTATCCCGAAGGACTCTTTACAACTATTTGGAACCCATCTGTGAATGAACAGAATTCACAGCTGTTGCAATAAAAGAGGTTTTTGGGACTAGACTACTCTTGTATTTTACTGACTCAGGAAGCCTAGGTCAGAACAGGGAGCTGGACTAGAAGACCTCTAGGATCCCTTCCAACTCTGTTATTCTGTCATTCTTTCCCTAACAGGATGAGATGGAGTTTGGTTATGTAGAAGCTCCTCATCAATCCTTCCCCGTTGTCTTCGATTCTCCCAGGAATCGGGGCCTGAAGGAATTTCCTTTCAAGAAGATTTTGGTAAGTCAACTTCTCCCACCCTTTCTCGGCCAAGAGAGATCCGATTCTCTCCTCCTTTGAACAATAGAGAAGGAACAGGGCCGTTTTTCCTTTTTCTGAGGAACCGCAACAGGATAAGGATTGACTTGCAGCCTTTCAGAAGGAATCTGAACCTCACTAAGATATCCTGTTTCACCAAAAACACGGAAAAGTCCTTCATGAAACTTTGCGACACAAATGACATACTTCAGCTTCTAAGGGATAAAAGATTCTTCAGTGTGTCTCTTATTTATTTGTTTGTTTGTTTGTTTGTTTGTTTGTTTGTTTGTTTTCTTGGGGGAAAAAAAGAATAATCATTTCAAGGCTTTTACAATGCTCTTATCGTCTTTGTCTTTATTGCCGTCAAGGGCCCTGATTTTGGGTACGTCACTCGGGAACCCAAAAACGGGAGAGTGTCCAGTCTGGATTCTTTTGGTAACCTGGACGTCAGCCCACCTGTCTCGGTCAAGGGAAAAAACTACTCCTTGGGGAGGATCCTCATAGGCAGCAGCTTTCCTGGGTAAGGAAGTCATGAGACCAGTGTTTTCCACCCATCTATAGATGGGTTCTATAGAACCGGTAGTAAAACCGGCTGAAGGCTCCACCCACCGACCCCGACGTCATCAAAATGCGCGCGGCCCCATTGCGAACCGGTAGTAAAGGTAAGTAGAACCCACCCCTGGTCCAAACCCGTGCTCAAGCAGGAGGCCCTATACCTGTGACGGCGAACCTATGGCACACGTGCCACAGATGTCACGTGGAGCCATATCAGTGGGCATGCAAACTCAGCTCTGGCGCGCATGCGTACTCAGCTCTGGCACGCATGCGTGCTCCGGCCAGCTGATTTTCGGGCCTTCTGGGCCCACCAGAAGTAGGGAAACAGACCGTTTCCTGCCTCCAGAGGGTGGGGAAGGGTTGTTTTTGCTCTCCCCAGGCTCCAGGGTCTCTCTAGGAGCCTGGGGAGGGCGAAAATGGCCTTCCCAACCACCCCAGAGGCCCGCCGGAGGCCGAAAACTGCTTGTTTGCCAATTTCTGGTGGGACCGGAACGCCCCTTTTTTGCTCTCCTCATGCTTCTGAGCCTCTCTAGGAGCCTGGGGAGGGCAAAAATGGCCTACCCCCCCCAGAGGCCCTCCAGAGGCCCGAAATGGAGAGGCTCCTAGAGAGGCTCTGGAGCCTGGGGAGAGCAAAAAACGGGCCTCCTGGGCCCACTGGGCCATCGCGTGCCAAAAGTGGTGGGAGCGCATGCGCGGGAGGTGAGGTGCATATAATTATGGGTGTGGGCACGTGTGCGTGTGACCCCCCTGCTCCCCCTGCTTTTGGCACGCAATATCAGTGCCCTATACAATGTCAGACAAGTGGCTGTCAAGTCTCTTCTTAAAAACCCCCAGTGCTGAAGCACCCAGAACTTCTGGTGGCAAGCTGTTCCACTGGTTAATTGTCCTCACTGTTAGGAAATTTCTCCTTAGTTTTAGGTTGCTTTTCTCCTTGATTAGTTTCCATTCATTGTTTCATGTCTTGCCTTCTGGTCCTTTGGAAAATAAATTGACCCCCTCCTCTTTGTGGCAGCCCCTCAAATATTGGAATACTGCAATCATGTCCCCCCCTAGTCCTTCTTTTCTTCAGACTGGCCATACCCAATTCCTGCAACCGTTCTTCATATGTTTTAGCCTCCAGGCCTTTGATCGCCTTAGTTGCTCTTCTCTGCACTTTTTCCAGAGTCTCAACATCATTTTTGTAATGTTGGTGACCAAAACTGGATGTGGTATTCCAGGTGTGGCCTTACTAAGGATTGATAAATACTAATTTATCACTAATACTAATTTAATACTAATACTTCACATGATTTTGATTCTACGCCTCAGTTGTTTTATACAACCAAGGAGTTTATACCACTTGAAGGAGCCAACATCACAACTGGCCACCAAAAAACCTGCAGCCAGGTAGCCAGACTATGCACTGCTGGAGAAGACTTTTGAGAATCTCTTGGGCTGCAAGGAGATCCGATCAGTGTGGATCCTAATGGAAATCTACACTGACTGTCCTTTGGAAGGACAGATACGGAGGCTGAAGCTCAAATACTTTGGCCCCCAAATGAGAAGAAGGATTCTTTGGAAGAAACCCTGAGGTTGGGAAAGATGGAAGGCAAGAGGAGAAGGGAAGGGCAGCAGATAATAATAATAATAATAATAATAATAATAATAATAATAATAATAATAATAATAATAATAATAATAATAATAATAATATGTAAGTATTATAAAAATATGGTTCATTGACATTGCAATACCTGGTGATGCACGGATTGAAGATAAGCAGCAAGAAAAAAAATCACAAAGTACCGGGACTTGCAAATTGAAGTTGAGCGACTGTGGAAAAAGAAATCGTGTGTTGTCCCGATTGTAATTGGAGCCCTTGGAGCAATACCCAAAGGGCTACCTCGCTATTTAGAAATTCTAAATTTGCCGGACTTGAACATTTTGACTCTACAAAAAACCACCTTACTCGGAACAGCTTACATCCTCCGATACCTTAACAGTTCCTAGGTCCTTGGTTAGGACTCGAGCTGCTGAGCTATTAACCAGCCTCAAAGGCTGTGAATCTCACTAAAGATTAAATAATAATAATAATAATAATAATAATAATAATAATAATAATAATAATAATTTTATTTATATACCGCCCATTCTCCCGAAGAGAGGCGGTATACAGCCAGAATTAAAATACAAATATACAAATATACAATATCCTAGTTAAAATTAATTAAAATCATTAAATAGTTTTGGCCGAATTTTAAAACCCAAAATTAAAACCCAATTTAAAATCATTCAATTTGACAGCCCCGCCTGTCGGAACAGTAAGGTCTTGATGAGATGGTTAGATAGAGCCATCGACACAAGAAATGTGAATGGGGTGAAAGTGAAGGACAGGGAGGCCTGGCATGCTGGGGGTTTTTTTTCTATTTTTTTTTTAAGTTTTTTATTTTATTTTTCTCATAAACATATCTTAAATGTACAATTTCTTATCTAACATACATATTTTCTTTTCATACTGACACAATCTTCATCCTAAACAATTTAATTATATTCGGGGTAGCTCTTCTACCATTTCATCTCCCTTGTTTTACAAAATCCTTCTTCTCCCTTTCCTCCCTTTCCTTTCCCTCCCTTCTTCCATCTACTCTTCTACTTTCTTCTTTCCTCCTCCGCTTCTCCTCCTCTCCTTCCCCTTCCTTTCCCCCACATCTCCCTTCTTCCTCCCTTCTAACCTTCTCTCCTACTCTTGTTTCCCCTCTCTTTCTTCCTCTCCTTTTCCCTTTCTTCTTTCCCTCTCTCTCCGTCCTCTCTTCTCTCCTCTATCCCTCTCCATTCTCTCTCTATTGTTGTATTCATTTTCAATTTAGTATTTTCCAAGGTGGTATTCGAGCAATCCCGGTTTTTACTTTCTTTTCAATTACTTTTTCATTTTACTAAATTCACACATATCATCATAAATGGGGAAAGGTGGGGGGGGGAGAGAAAGAAAATGTTATTATAAAAATGTACATTTATGTTGTTCATGGGGTGGCAAAAAGTTGGACATGACTTACCAGCTGACCAACAGAAAGCTAGATTATAAATGGTCATGGGTCCTTCTCTTCTCGGGCTCTTCAGCCTGTACGCCCTCGGACCACCAAGTTTGTAGATCAGTGGTGGGTTTCAAAAATTTTTACTACTGCTTCTGTGGGTGTGGCTTGGTGGGCGTGGCATGGCTTGGTGGGCGTGACTTGGTGGGCATGGCACGGGAAGGATACTGTAAAATCTCCATTCCCACCCCATTCCAGGGGAAGGACACTGTAAAATCTCTATTCTGACCTCAATCCAGGGGAAGGTTACTGCAAAATCCCCATTTCCTCCCGATCAGCTGGGACTCGGGAGGCAGAGAATAGATGGGGGCAGGGCCAGTCAGAATTTTTACTACCGGTTCTCTGAATTACTCAAAATTTCCGCTACCGGTTCTCCAGAACTGGTCAGAACCTGCTGAAACCCACCTCTGCTGTAGATGCCTTGGTTACAAGGAAACTGAGATTTATTTCCTGAATGTCATCTACCGACCAACCGCACTCAGCAAAAGTAAATGAAAAGCAGTAGGAAGGCAAGTTAATCACCCCTCTGCTCATTGCAGTCGCCAAACCGGTTGAAGCACCAAAGTCATCCGTGATGAAAATTAGTCCTGCCGATGGAGAAAATAGCAAGAGAGGGAGCAAAGCTGGCTTCCCTTGGCAGGGAGTTCCAAAGACTGAAAACAGCTGCAGAGAAAAATGATCAGGAGGCCATTGGACTTTCTATGTCTTTGAAGACATTTCGCTTCTCATCCCAGAAGCTTCATCAGCTCTGACAGGATAGTGGGGAATGGAAAGATTTATATTCCTTGCAGATAGCTGGTCAATTGCATCAGGGATGGGTTTTTATTATTATTATTATTATTATTATTATTATTATTATTATTATTATTATTATTTTATTTCTATACCGCCCTTCTCCCGAAGGACTCAGGGCGGTGCACAGCCAATTTAAAAACACAAGACACAACAATGATTAAAAATTAAAATAATTAAATAGATTTGGCCGATTTAAAACCCCAAAAATTTAAAATACCCCAATTTAAAATTATTATGTTGATAGCCCTGCCTGGCAGAACAACAGGGTCTTCAGTGCGCAGCGAAACACCCACTGATTTTTGGGCCTAGTGGGCCCACCAAAAGTAGGGAAACAGGCTGCTTCCGGCCTCCAGAGGGCCTTGGGGGCTGGGGGTGGGGAAGGCACATTGTTCACTCTCCCCAGGCTCCAGAGCCTTTCTAGGAGCCTGGGGAGGGCTAAAACGGCCTTCCCCACCGCCCCAGAGGCCTCTGGAGGGCCTTCAGTGGGGTGGGGAAGGCCGTTTTCAGAATGATGCAGTCCATCATTCCTAACGTTAGGGTCTTCTCCAATCAGTTCTCTCTTCTCATTTGGTGGCCAAGGTTGGGAAGCCCAGACCTAAATCTTCTATTTACCCCACCAATAATGTAGAGCCAGAGGCGACATAAACCTGGAGTTTTTCTATAAGCTTTACCTCGAAAGAGACATCCCCAAGAGATCCTTCTTGACATGTAGGACATCAGAATTGTTCTGGAACTTCTGCATTTCACGCTTCTCTCTTTATCCAACGCTTAGATCCGGCAACAGGAAAATGACAAAAGTTGTCCGAGATTTTCTTTACGCTCAGAAAGTTCAAGCTCCTGTAGAGCTTTATTCAGACTGGCTGACGGTGGGTCATGTGGATGAATTCTTGAGCTTCGTTCCGGCTCCAGGCAAGAAGGTATGGATTGATGTGGGAATTGGGCAGAGGGTTGGACTACATCAGGGTTCGGCAATCCGCGTGGCTCTGGAGCCGCATGTGGCTCTTTTATCTCTCTGCTGCAGCTCCCTGTTGCTGGTCGGCTCCACAATTGATAGGGCTTTCGGTTAGGACAGGTAGAGGAAAAAGGACGCCATGCTAGGAGGAGACTCTATGGTGGGGGAACCGGACTTCTGGTCAGCAGAGGAAAAAGGACGCTGCACTAGGAGGAGACTATGATGGGGGAACTGGACTTCCGGTTGGCTCCAGAATTGAATGGGGCTTCCAGTTAGGAAGAGCCTTTGTGGCTCTTTGAGTGTTTAAGGTTGCCGACCTTTGGACTACATAGAAGACCTCCAAGGTCCCTTCCAAGCCAATTACTCTATGTTGTATAATTCCCTTTCCCAATTAAGCTTCCATTCACCTGCATAGCCATAGATGAGCCGTAGTGGCGCAGTGGTTAAAATGCAGTATTGCAGGCTAATTCCGCTGACTGCCAGCGGTTCGATCCTGACCGCTCAAGGTTGACTCAGCCTTCCATCCTTCCAAGGTCGGTAAAATGAGGAGCCAGATTGTTGGGGGGCAAGAGATGCTGACTCTGTAAGCCACTTAGAGGGGGATGTAAAGTACTGTGAAGCGGTATATAAGTCTAAGTGCTATTGCTAATAGATTACAAAAGTTTATTTGGCTGCAAAAGTATCACCTGTTGCTCTCTGAGCCATCTGCATAACCCCATGTGAACTTTTCTTTTATAATATCTTCCTTCTCTGTAAAATAATAGAATTGGTCTGTCTATGCAGGTAATCTGCTATTTACAACAGTTTAGTCACTGCTCAAAGTTATACGGGCGCTGTGAAAAAATCCAATTTAGGACCATTTTCAGCATCCCCATGGTCCCGTGATTGAAATTCGGACGCTTGGCAACTGATTCATACTTATGATAGTTGCGGTCACAAAATTCCCTTTTGCGATCTTCTGGCCAGCAAAGTCAATGGGGGAAGCCAGATTCACTTCACAACCCGTGATACTAATGGCAACGATCCACTTAATCACGCTGGCAAGAAAGGTGGTAAAATGAGGCAAAACAAGCTTAAGAACTGCCTCGCTTAGGGACGGGACATTTGGTCTCCGTTGCGGTCGTAAGTCAAGGAGTACCTGTATTGTCATTCTAACTAACTAACCGGCATGTTAGTTCAACTGACATCGCAGGAAGCAAACCAGGGGTGAAATCCAGCAGGTTCTGACAGGTTCTGGAAAACCGGTAGCAGAAATTTTGAGTAGTTCGGAGAACCGGCAAATGCCACCTCTGGCTGGCCCCAGAGTGGGGAGGGAATGGAGATTTTGCAGTATGCTTCCCCCAGGAGTAGGGTGGGAATGGAGATTTTGCAATATCCTTCCCCTGGAGTGGAGAGGGAATGGAGATTTTGCAATATCCTTCCCTTGGAGTGGGGTGGGAATGGAGATTTTGCAGCATCCTTCTCCTGGAGTGGGGAGGGAATGGAGATTTTGCAATATCCTTCCCCTGGAGTGGGGAGGGAATGGAGATTTTGCAATATCCTTCCCTTGGAGTGGGCTGGGAATGGAGATTTTGCAGCATCCTTCCCCCAGGAATGGGGAGGGAATGGAGATTTTGCAGCATCCTTCCCCTGCCATGCCCACCAAGCCACACCATGCCCACCAAGCCATGCCCACAGAAGCGGTAGTAAAAAAAATTGAATTTCACCACTGAAACAAACCACAGTAAACATCCCGCATCCGGTTATACTGTGAGAATAAAATTTAACTCAGATTCTTACCCTCCTGTGTGCGTGTGTGTCTCCACGCAGGGTTTCCGGCTTCTTCTGGCCAGTCCCCTCGCTTGCTTGAAGCTGTTTGAAGAGAAGCAAAAAGAAGGTTATGGGAAGGCTGCCCTGTTTGAAGGTGAGTCTAAGGTTATTCTTCCCGGCTGATTCCATGGGAAACCAGACCATCCATCCTCATGTATAAATCTTTAATTTTTTTCCAGGTCTAAGGAGAGTGGGGAAAATTACGGTCGATGAGATCCTGACGGACAGAAATGTGCGCCAAGACAGCAAATATGTTCAGGTAAAACAGTAACAAAAGTGTGACATTTTCTACATTAGGTAGGAAATTCACACCACATTAAAGAAAAAAAAACTGATTCTCAGCAAAAGGCAGAAGTTCTCCATTGCATAATTCATTCCCCACCATTAAGAAACCGTTTACCAAGGATTTAGAGGTGTGAAAATGAACCCAGAATCCTAGGATGCTCCTTTGCATACGACTTTCCTAAGAAGCTAGTTTGCAACAGCCAACTTCTAAGATTTTGTCTAGACCACTCTTAGTAATTTCCTTCCTTGACTGGTGTCAGATCCTCTTTTTGGATCTAAGGATGACATCTATCAAATAATTGTAACGGAGTTACCAGCTGCCTGTTTTCAAATCCCAGGTTCTTATTTCCTAACAAGTAGAAAAAAGTATTTTTTTTTTTGTTTGGTTTAGAAAACCCTGCATCCGATGGAAAAGTGGTCTATTATCCTTTGAAATACCACATAGTTGATACTACCTCCTTGGTGTCTCCAACTGAGCAAAGGACTATTGTTTCGTTTTAGAAAGATTGAAATCACTCCTTAAATCAACAACTGCATGTATATTTTAAGCCTAGGTGTCCCTTTCTATAACATGTCCCACAACTCTTTTTGTATAAAATACCTTAAGGACAGGATACCATATTAAAGGATACCTTTAATATGAATTAAAGGCTCAGGCTCAACCCATCCAAGACCGAGTGGCTGTGGTTTCCAACGTCCCGATATAGTCAGCTGGTGCCATCGCTGACTATTGGGGGCGAATCATTAGCCCCCACGGAAGGGGTTCGCAACTTGGGTGTCCTCCTGGACTCACGGCTGTCTTTAGAAGAGCACTTGACGGCCGTGACCGGGAGGATTTTTCATCAGGTTTGCCTGATTCGCCAGTTGCGTCCCTTTCTGGATCGGGACTCGTTACGCATGGTCACTCATGCCCTCGTCACCTCCCGTCTGGACTATTGTAACGCTCTCTACATGGGGCTCCCCTTGAGGTGCACTCGGAGGCTCCAACTGGCGCAGAGTGCGACCGCGCGGGTGGTGACGGGAGCAACGTGGCGCTCCCATGTAACACCTCTCCTGCGCGAGCTGCACTGGCTCCCGGTGGTCTTCCGAGTGCGCTTCAAGGTTTTGGTTATCACCTTTAGAGCGCTCCATGGCTTAGGACCTGGTTATTTACGGGACCGCCTGCTACCACCAATAGCCTCCCACCGACCAGTACGCTCCCATAGAGAGGGGCTCCTCCGGGTGCCGTCGGCCAAACAATGTCGACTGGCGGCCCCAAGCTGGCCTGACCTAAGTCTTTCCCCTTTTTAAATGGAAATTTTAAATTTGGTTTTAAATTATTGGGGTTTTAAATTTGTTCAGCCAAATTATTTAATTTCGTTTTAATCTATTTTAAATTTTGTATTTATATGTTTTATTCCATGGCTGTTCACCGCCCTGAGTCCTTCGGGAGTAGGGCGGTATACAAATTCAATAAAATAAATAAATAAATAAAATAACACAGGAGTCTCCAAACTTGGCAACTTTTAAGACTTGTGGACTTCAACTCCCAGAATTCCTCTGCTGGCTCTGCAAGCCCAAATTGTTGGAAATGTGGCTATCATCAGGGTACCTTCTATCATATGTGGTAGACATGCCCCAAAGTGAAGAAATACTGGAAAAAAATTAGAAAATGGATACAAGAAATAATTGAGGATAACATTGATTTGGAGCCTGAAACATTTCTCCTGGGAATACTAAAAAGGACATATGAAAAAAAAAAGAGCTTATCTAATTATACATATTATTACGGCTGTCAGAATAATATATGCACAATACTGGAAAGAAAAGGGATTACCACTGGAGGAGCACATAATTAGAAAAGTATTTGAATGCGCTGAGATGAGTAAATTAACGTATGAGTTAAATGATGATGAAAATTCAGAATACTATATAGTGTGGGAAGGGTGGTACAAGTGGATGGAGAATAAAATAAAAGAAGGAGATGGTATAACTATTAATAGGAATAAGTGACTTAACAGACACCATGTAAGTAACCTATATATATGTATATGTATGAACACTGCTTAACCGATATTAGTTGAATTGTAATATTATGTAATTCAATAAAAATGTTAAAAAAAAAAATTCTGGGAGTGGAAGTCCGCAAGTCTTAAAGTTGCTAAGATTGGAGACCCCTGCTTTAACCTGATGGGAACCCATCACACACACACTTGTCTTTCTGTCCCTCTTCCCAGAGTTGTATTGACTGGAACCGGAGTATTTTAAAGCGAGAACTCGGACTGACCGAACGAGACATCATTGATATCCCCCAGCTCTTCACTCTCGAAGGCTCCACCGCGACAGCCCTGTTTCCAGACATGGTGAGAGACCCTCCATCCCATTGGTTTTTCCAAAGCAAGCATCCCTTCTGAGCATCCTACGGGGCTGAGGCTGGGTTTCAATTCCAAGGTTCAAGGGAGAGAACAACAGAGATTTATAATCTACCACATCTGTGGAGGATTCTCAGCCATCCAGGCCATGCTTGTCCCAATGATGCTTTTTCAAGAGGCAACTGGACATTCCTGTTTTTCTTTGAAGACGTTTCGCTTCTCATCCAAGAAGCTTCTTCAGCTGAAGAAGCTTCTTGGATGAGAAGCGAAACGTCTTCAAAGAAAAACAGGAAAGTCCAGTTTCCTTTTTTAAAAAAACTCCTTTTGGATAATCTACCGTGCTTTCCATCAGCAAAAGGGAGAAACTGGAAAATTTCCTAGTTTTCTTATAATAATAATAACTTTATTGTCATTGTACGTGTATACACAGTATACCCATACAACAAAATTCACTTAACACCCAAAGACCAGGTCCAACACACAAAACAATCCCCAAACACACTCCCACCCACCACAATTCTCCACCCCTAAACCACCCAAACATCCACACAACAGACCAAGTAATGCTGTCCAACAGCTCACTGATGGTGGCCCTTTAGTTCATTGTTGAGTGCAATTATAGCTCTGGGATAAAAACTATTCAGAAGACGTGTGGTCCGAGTTTTAATTGTTCTGTATCTTCTGCCAGAAGGCAACAGTCCAAAAAGATTGTAAGCAGGATGGAAAGAGTCTCTGAGAATGTTATGCAACTTTCTCAAACAGCGAGATTCGATAATGTCATCCAGGGCTGGTAGCTGGAGCCCGATAATATTCTGGGCAGTTTTAATGATTCTCTGTAGAACGTTTTTTGTCCGCTACAGAGCTGCTCCCATACCATGCAAGAATGCCGTATGTCAGGACACTCTCAATGGTGCTGTGATAGTAGGACAGAAGTAGATGCTGAGATAGATTTATCTTCCTGAGCATTCTCAGGAAGTACAGCCTCTTCTGTGCCTTCTTCACAAGCATGTTAACATTCATAGTCCATGAGAGGTCCTTCGAGATATAAATGCCCAGAAATTTAAAACTACCAACCCTCTCCACCTCCTCACCACTTATGTACAATGGTAAATGTACACCTCTCTTATCTTAGTTTTTAAAGATTGCATTCAATGTCTTTCCATTGAAAGAGTAGTGGCCAAAAGAAGTTTTTCTTTAAAACAATTAAAGGGTGGAAGGGTAGCAATGGAGACAATGACCAACCAGCACTGATAATTCTAAGCAATAGCTTCTAATCATGAAGAATGGTTAAATCCTGTTGACTCAAAAAGGGAAAGCTTAGACTTTTAAACCCTTTAGCAGAGAAAAAAGACATGGGGATGGGAATCATTTTACTCAATTCTGGGCATAAGGAGGTCCTTCCAAAATTGACTGAAGGGATGTTTTGGGCGTTGATGTAACAGTCACTTAAATATGAGCCAGCAGTGCGCTGCAGCTGCCCAAAAAAGCCAACACAATCCAAAGCTGCATTAACAGAGGGATAGAATCAAGATCACGTGAAGTGTTAATATGCTTTATAATACCTTGGTAGGACCATACTTGGAATACTGCATCCAGTTTTGGTCGCCCCGATGTAAAAAAGATGTTGAGATTCTGGAAAGAGTGTGGAGAAGAGCAATAATTAGGGAACTGGTAGATAATACATACAAAGATATGATTGCAAGAATTGGGTATTGAGTTTAATGAAAAAACTCAATATGAAAATATTTGAGGGGCTACCACAAAGAAGAGGGAGTGAAACTATTCTCCAAAGAACCTGAGGGTAGGACAAGAAGCAATGGGTGGAAACTAATCAAGGAGAGAAGCAACTTAGAACTAAGGAGAAATTTATGACAGTGAGAACAATTAATCAGTGGAACGGCTTGCCTCCAAAAGTTGTGAGTGCACCACCATTAGAGGTGCACATTCTTCTTTTTAAGAAGAAACTGGACAATCATTTGTCTGAAATTGTAGATGGTTTCCTGCCTGAGCAGGCAGAGGGTTGGACTAGAAGACCTCCAAGGTCCCTTCCAACTCTGTTATTCTTGGAAGAAAGAGATGGATGAGAAGCCAACTCAATTCTTTGTCTTGTTCTCTGCAGGTAAATATGCTCGTCTTAGGGGAACACCTGGGCATTCCCAAGCCATATGGACCCATCATCCACGGCCAGTGTTGTTTGGAAGTGAAAGTCCGCTCCCTCCTGGAGCCACTGGGCCTCTCCTGCACATTCATTGATGACTTTTTCTCCTACCACGTCTTGTCGGGGGAAGTCCATTGTGGCACCAACGTTCAGCGGGAACCTTTTTCCTTTCATTGGTGGAATATTCTTCCATGAAAAAACTGCCCATAAATTATCTCAGGCTTTGTTTTCTCAACACCTTTGTCTCTGAGGTTGAAGAGATGCAGCAGCGTGGAAAATTGTTGGAAGGAGAAGGAGAACCTTTCCCAGAGATAATTTCTCAGCATCTTCCCGAAATTTGTTTCAATTTGGGTCTCTTGAAAACACACAAGGCAGTAACGACTAACCATGCAAGACAGCAGGTTAGATAAAATTGTCTGGCTTTCTGGAAAAATGCTGTTTCTGGAGAAGCCAGCAAGAGGAGAAGAAACTACCTGGAAAAGCCAAATATATTTACATTTTCAGTGGGAATTATTCAAAAGCCATCACCAGGAGCTGCTAGATAAAACTACAAGGAGGAACTGCTCTCTCTCTTCTCTGTAAGGAGCAAGAAATATTTATACATTATATGAAGGCTGATCCAAATTCATTTCCCAAAGTTTATTTGAAGTAGGAAAGAGGCATTTGAAAATCTTGCAAGTGTTTGTGGTTTCAAGTTGCTAACTTCGGGTTCCAAACAGATGCAAATCCAGCCCAAAGTCTGATTACTTAGCACAATTTGCATGTGGGAATGGAATGGTTCCCTGTCGACTACTAGCATAGATAGATTTAGAGGTTAGGAGTAGAGCAGAGGTCTTCAAACTTGGCAGCTTTAAGACTTGTGGACTTCAGCTCCCAGAATTCTCCAGCCAGCTGCTGGCTGGAGAATTCTGGGAGTTGAAGTCCACAAGTCTTAAAGCTGTCAAGTTTGAAGACCTCTGGAGTAGAGCCATGAAAGATCAACTGGAAAAATCAGATGAGAATCTCTGATCTCTGAAAAGAGAGAGAGAGGGAGAGGGAGGGAGGGAGGGAGGGAGAGAGAGAGAGAGAGAGAGAGAGAGAGAGAGAGAGAGAGAGAGAGAGAGAAGGATGGGAAAACCTGATTGTTTGGATTGAGATGGGATTGTTATCTCAGCCAGGAATGCAAAATTCTTGAAAATAAAAATGTGCATTATGAAATTATGTCTCTGGCTCAGTTGTGCAAGCCGATCTCTTTGCAACTTGATGAGTCTCAGTGACTTTCATCGGCACCACACAAGAGGAAGTGTTGATGTGCCTGATTAATCCTGTTTTTTCTTTGAAATGAGGGAAGCGGGTGCTTTTCCAATGAAACCTCTTCAGCAACAGGCACGTTACATTACATTACAACTGGGTTACATTACGTGAAATGCTTTATGACTCAATAAATCAGAAAAGACTCTCATGAGGGTACAATAAGCAAGCAATATAGAGTTCATAGTACGTACAGATAGTCCTAGACTTATCACCATCTGTTTAGTGACTGTTCTAAGTTACAAAGGCACTGAAATAAATGACTTGTGACCGGTCCTCGCAGTTACGACTGCTGCAACGTGATTAAACTTTGGGCCAGGGGTGAAATGCTCCCGGTTCGGACCGGATTACCCGATCCAGTAGCGATGGCGGCGGGTGGTTCAGAGAACCGGTAGCAAAAATCCCTGTGCCCCCACCACCACCACCATGCCCAGTTGAGCCGCATGATCATCAGAGGCTTTTTTTTTTTACTTTTAAAAGCATTTTTTCTACAACCTCTTCCCACAAAAAAATGCTTTTAAAAGTAAAAAAAAAAAAAAGCCTCTGATGATCACGCGGCTCAGCTGGGTTCGTCAGAGGCTTTTCAAAGCATTTTTTTCTGCAACATCTTGGCCGAAAAGGTGGTAAAAAAAATGGTTTGAAACATCCCTGACAATCCCAGCTGAGTTTCCTGATCGGCAGAGGCATTTTTTAAAGAGCCTCTCTGACGATCCCAGCTGAGTTCCCTGATCGGCAGAGGCTTTTCAAAGCATTAGAAAAAATGCTTTGAAAAGTTAAAAAAAAAAAAAAGTTGGCCACGCCCACCCAGTCACATTATCCCACCACCACCAAGCCACGCCCACAGAACCGATAGTAACAAATTTTACATTTCACCCCTGCTTTGGGTGCTTGGCAACTGGCATGTATGTACAATAGTTGCAGAGGTCAGGTTATTGCCGTTTGCGACCTTCCCAGGCAGCTTTCCAACGAGCAGTCCATGGGGCAAGCCTGATTCGTTTAATGACTGCACGATTCCCTTAATGACTGCAGTGATTCGTTTAACAAGCATGGCCAAAAAAAAAAAAGGTTGTGAAATTGGGCGCGACTTAGTTTAACAGCAGCCTTGCTTAGCAAAAGAAATGTTGATAAAGAAGATCTGGAGAAGGTTTTCTTCTCTCTTGCCAAACGTTAAAATTAGGGTCATCCCATCAAGCTTATTGGACAAACAAAATAAGTGGGGTTTTTTTTTGAACAATAAATCTGTGAAATTCAGGATCGTAAGATGTTGTGATGGCCCTGTGTCCCTTTGACAAGGGAGTGGACAACTCCATCAAGGTCTACTAGTCTTCAAGAGTCAAGGTGGCCTCTTAACTTCATATCTCCACTGCAGGTCATGGCATCTCCAAGGTGTCAGAAACCCAGGGCCATATGGGGAGAAACAGATGGTGGATTATGGGGTTTATGAGCAGAGCTATTTACTCCTAAATCACCTTGAGAACTGAATTGTATAGAAAATTGACAAACTTACAGATTCCCAGTCTTGTTCTTTTTTTAGAAGCCATTACAATCAGATATCACACTCACAGGAATCGAGGCCAGCAGTATTAACACCCTCAGACAAAATAACGTTTAACAAAAAGAGAAAGACGGCTGAACCTGTGAAATGGAAAAAAAAAAACCCTAAATGTTAAAAAGTTATGGTACTTATGTAGTTATTTACCAAGCACATCTAAATTATATTAAAATAACCAAAATATCTTTACAATCTCCAAGGCATGTCACAACCTTTGAGCACCCCTAATGTTTGAAAATTGAAAGTTGAAAAATTTGACATGCCCTATAAACATCTCCTATCAGTCCAACCTTCACTGGGTTCGCTTATCGGCTTCTCTATTTTTTAATGGAAGAATGAATGAATGAATGAATAAATAAATAAATGTTTAATCTCCAGAAGAGAATCAATCAGAGAAAGGCACACCAGGAATAGAGGTGGGCTTCAGCAGGTTCTGACCAGTTCTAGAGAACCGGTAGCAGAAATTTTGAGTAGTACGGAGAACCAGTAGTAAAAATTCTGACTGGCCCTGCCCCCATCTATTCTTTGCCTCCCAAGTTCCAGCTGATTGGTAGGAATTGGGGATTTTGCAGTAACCTTCCCCTGCCATGCTCACCAAGCCACGCCCACCAAGCCACGCCACACCCACTAAGCCACACCCACAGAACCGGTAGTAAATTTTTTTGACACCCACCACTGACCAGGAAGCCATGGCTGTTGTCTGTCTTTCCCAAAGATGATCTGAAAGGGAGATCAAAAACTTCAAAGTAAAGGCAGCCTCTTAAAATGGCCACCTCCTGACTTGACGGGAAATAATTTTTGTTTTATCTCACAGAAGGTGCTAATTGGCGTAACAGAAGCTGGCAAATTTCATCATCGCTCCTTAAAGCTGTTGGAAAAGAACCATGGGTGTACATTCAACACCTTCTAGCATTAGTGTAATTGTCAAAAAAAACCCTCTGTGTGTGTGTGTGTGTGTGTGTGTGTGTGCTTGTGTGTGTGTGTGTATGTGTGCGTGCGTGTGTGTGTGTGTGTGTGTGTGTGTTACAGGTAGCCCTCGATTTACGACAACAGTTGAGCCCAAAATTCCTGCTGCCAAGTGAGACGTTTGCTCTATTTTACGACTTTTCTTGCCAGAGTTATTAAATGAATCACTGCAGTTCTTAAATTAGCCACACAGTTGTTCAGTGAATCTGGCTCCCCCGTTGGTTTTTACAGGGTCAGCCTATCAGCCCCCCCCCCCCCGCCCAACAATCTGGGTCCCCATTTTACCCACCTCGGAAGGATGTTAGACCGAGTCAACCTTGAGCCTGGTGAGAATGGAACTGCCAAACTGCAGTCAGCTGGCAATCGGCAGAAATAGCCTGCAGTACTGCACTCTGACCACTGCGCCACCTCGGCATTATAGAAATCAAAAACAAACAAATGAATGAATCTGTCTCAGTCAAGCGTCGGGCTACTTTCTAGGAAGTCTCCACGTCTTCTGGCTACTTCCTCCTCCTCCTCCCTGGGGTGGAAGCTGATAACTCTCTTTGGGTGAGAACATGGGCTGCCAGCTCCCAAATCAGCCACCCCAGCCCAGGAGGAGGGATTAGATATGCACCAGCCTATCAGATGGCAAGATAGAGGAGCTGAGCAGGTACCCACCCCATCCTTTCCCCCTTTTAAATCTCTTCTTCCAGCTCAGGGATGTTTATTCCAGAGCCAGCAAACTCTCCTTGGAGGACTGGGGAAAAAAATCCCCGAGCATGGCTAAGCAAAGGTGTGTCCGGTTTTCAACGGAGAAGGTTATCAGCACTGTCCATATTCTGGGCACCGAGCTCTTCCTGGACATCCATGGGTAAGCATGTGGACATTCCTATTACACAATGTTTTCTGATTTACAGAAGAAAAGAAGAACTTAAAAGATCCGTTCAGTTTCGCAGAAGGCGAACAGAGAAAAACATTTAACAGAGAAAAAGATTAAGGCATGCGTCTTTTCATTTCCCAACTCTTAACTGCCGGGCGGGGTGCGGGGGGGTGGGGAGATGTTGGGAGTGGTTCACTAAACAGTCTGAAAGCATCTCTAGAAGTGAGTGAGGTATCTCAAAAAAAGAAAGAAAGAAACCTCCCCCCCATGCCCAGATTTCTGAATATCCCTCCGTGTTTGCAAGGAAGTCATCGACCAGGTAATCTGCAAGGGTAATGGGCGATGCTATCATTTGTTTTGCTATCTCAAGGCGTTTCCTGACAGGCAGCAGGAAAAAAGTGCTTGGTTTCACAGAGAGAAGGGAAGGGCCCCATTGAATTTCCATTCAAAATTGATGGCAACACAACCCATCTCGTTAGCAAAAATAGGATGGGATGGGATAAAATATCCCAGGTCAGGGGTCTGCAACCTTAAACACTCAAAAGAGCCGTTTGGACCCATTTCCCACAGAAAGGAAAACACCGGGAGCCACAAAACCCTTCCTGTGCCTGCCTATTTCTTGAGCGGCCACAAAACTAGCCTAAGTAGTTGAATTAAACATTCTGCTTTCTTCTGAAACTTTTTTCTTCTCTTGGATTTATCCATGGTTGGCCTACTGGGGGGTGTTGAAAAGCTCAAATTGAAAAGCTCAATTGCGTGCTGGCGGTTTTTGCACATTGGCGGTTGTGACGCATATTTTGAGTGACAGGGAGCCGCAGCAGAGGGGTGAAAGAGCCACATGCGGCTCCAGAGCCACAGGTTGCTGACCCTGTCCTAGGTCATTCAGTTAGTTATCTCAAACTTGGATGGGAATCATGGCAAAACTGAACAATATTTAAGTTCTTCCTCTTTCTATTTGGTGATTTATTTATTTTTTTAAAAATGCTGCTATCTGTGGTTACTGTAATTGTCATGATTTATTAAAGTAACACCTGTCAGTTTTAGACTGGGCTTCTTAAGGGGTTGTTGTGGTTGCCGCAGGGGTGAATGTGTATGTGCGCACGGATGTGCTGAATAAACACTAGCATGGGCCAAAAATATGGGGCACAATATAAACTTAGATGAATGGGAAACGATTTGGAATAAAAATTATACATTAACAAAATTGGCAGCATACAAGGAAAATCAATATAAAATGCTATATCGTTGGCACCTAGCACCAGCAAGGCTGGCTAAAATATACCCGAACCTAAGTCCCAAGTGTTGGAAGTGTAATCACCACCAGGGTACCTTCTTTCATGCGTGGTGGCTATGTCCCGAAGCGAAGAAGTATTGGAGCAAAATACAACACTGTTTACAAGATTTAACAAACTGCCAAACTGAGTTAATTCCGGAAACATTTCTCCTGGGTATACTAAAAACCAAGTATGATAAAAAAAACAAGAAATTATTTGATTCTCCATATACTCACAGCAGCAAGAATTGCATTTGCGCAATATTGGAAAGAACATAACTTACCACCAGAGGGATTGATTATTCAAAAAATATTTGAATGTGCTGAAATGAATGAACTAACCTTAGAATTAAAGGAAAAAGAATACTATGCGGTGTGGGATAAATGGTATGGGTGGAAAGATAACAGAAATAAAAATAATTAATGTTTATAAGGAAGTTGAAGATGTGTATATATATATGTATGTATATAATGTAGATTTCATATGAACTATTAATCCAACTTTTTTTTTAAAAAAATGACACTGTCTGTTTGGTTATGTACTAGAGCAGTAATGGCTAACCTTTTTGCCGTCACATGCCAAAAGTGGGGGGAGTGTGAGGGGGTTGCGGGTGTGGGTGCCCCCATCCATAATTCAATGTGCCCCGCCCTCCCGTGCATGCGCATGTGACCCCCCCACACACTTCCCCCTGCTTTTGGCATGCGATGATATGGTGGGCCCGGTAAACCCGTTTTTCCCCCTCCCCAGGCTCCAGAGGCTTTCTAGGAGCCTGGGGAGGGCAAAAAACAGCCTTCCCCATCCCCCTGGAGGCCTTCCAGAGGCCGGAAACATCGCTACCGGATCAGGTGATCCGGTCGGAACCGGGAGCATTTCACCCCTGTATAAAACCCATTTCCTTCTCATTTTTAAAAACAAGTTTATAGATCTTCTTTCTACCTTTGTTTTTTGACCACGCACAATGCAGAAAAACCTGGAGAACCGCTTTATAAAACCGAAGAACTAAATTCGGATTAGAAGGGAACTAAATGTGGAGAGGGAAGACAGACAGAGCAGGAAACGGACAATAAAAAAAGGCAGCTAAATGCAGACTAAATGTGTTAATTCTCGTCTCCCAGCGTCTGTTTCTACAATGTCAAGTTTTCACCACTTCTCAGTGCAAAAGATAAAATATAGTCATAATTATTCAGGGGACAATCTACTGGTCTTCCTGCAGAGATGCTCAACACTTGCCCATCACCGCATCTTCACATCAGGAAGAATTGGTTCCAAAGGTGCTTTTTTTCCAAAAGGCAATCGGACTTTCTTATTTTCTTGGAAAACATTTTGCTTCTCATCCAAGAAGCTTCTAAGAGCGAAGCGTTTTCGAAGATGACAGCAAGACAGCACTTGCCTTTTGGGAAAACACATTTTCAGGATAACCAACCATGGACTTGGATGATTGAGAATCTCCATAGACATCAGGAAGTATTCCCAGTTTAAAAGAATTGCTAATTGGGATTGTTGAAGGAATTTACCTGGGTCAGGTTAGCTTGGAGAAGGTAGCTTGGAAACACACTTTCAATTCTGTTTTCACTGCTTCAATATGCCAGAGGTGACCAAAACAGCATTCTGGAAGTCAATTCTCCATTGCCAAATTCATTAGGGGTAGATTCCCAGTTTTTGTCAGACTGGATAGAATTTGCTACGATATTTTAGAGGGGAGCACCTTATTCCTTCAGTCAAAATTGGACATTAATAGTCAGATCTTACCCGTATTTATGCGGAAGTTTGGTAATGAACCAACAGAACTATTCTTGGGACAGAAGGCATTAAAGGCAGGTGGGGAAGAAACTGCATATTTTAAATCTCTTTTATGACTTAAATGGGAACAGTTTTGCAACAAACAGCGTCTTTCTTTTAGGGCAGCCCCGAGGGCTGCGACCTGCTTCAAGATCTGGGCCACCCACGGCCTGAACATCTACAAAATCGAAGATCACATGACAAAATCAACAAAACCGTCAAAATCGAAGGTTTCCTGCCATGACTCAACATGGCCGCTGGACCGAACCGTCAAGTTCAGCGCCACCATGGATGCACCAAGCGACCAAGTCGATGACGAAAAGGTGAGGATAGAAACATAGGCCAAAGATTGCAGATCCTGGGATTTGTAGGCTTCCTTTTAGACCTACAAATGGATTTCCTGAACAAAATCACCATAAATAAACCAACGAAATGACTTGGCTGCAGAAGTCCTGGGTGCTCCAACACTGGAGATTTTGGAATCATTCCATGTCAAGTGGTCTCAGGCTCCCAACTCGACCATCGTGGATTTTGATGAAATTTGGTGTGAACATGCACACACGTCCCCAATGAACATTGGTAAAGTGTTACGTTTGCCGATGCAATACTTGCAGAGATATTTTGTTTGACCCCCATACCTGTTCTGCCCTAGCTAGGGACCCCAAAGAATGCAGCACACACAAAGTCTGTACAAACCTTAGTTTACTAAATTAAATCAGTTTTTTTTTTCAAACAAAGGCTGTTAATTAACTTTCTTAACAGCCTACATGAATCCAAAGAATAAATAATCGTAATCTTACTATGGTTGGCAGAAAGCCCAGAAGCAATTTGCAGAGAACTAAGATCAAGACGCGAAGGAGAGTGAACGAAGTTGTTCCCTGCAAATTGCCTCAGTCCTCGTCCTTCCTTAAATAGGCTAAGGGAGTGGCCAATTAGCCCCAAGCCTTACTCTCGAGGAGACCTCCTCCTGAGGAGCCACTCCTGCCTTTTGGCAGCTCTGCGCGCCCGTGCATCGAGAAGAGGCTCCTCCTCTTCTTCCTCTTCACCTATGGGAGCTTCTGGAGGTTCTGAAGGCCCTGGCTGAATCCCCGCCTCTGGCACCACATCTTCTCCAGCCTCCTCATTGTCTGACTCGAGTGCCAGCTACACAGGCTGCTGGCGCAGCACCACACCAGCCTCCTCGCTGTCCGAATCAGCCACCAGCTGCACAGGCCACTGATGGGCCACAACAATACCTCAGCCTTCCACAGTATGACTCTGAGATTTCAGCATCTTTGAGACATAATATGTCCGGTAATATTTTGTTGAGAGAAACAAAACCTGGCCATCTTGTACAACTTGTTGTGCTCTATTAAACAAAATAATAAAAACATTCTCTTGAGCGATCTCTATCTAGATACCATAATTTGGAGCAAAGTTGGCCGAAAATGACTGCAGTCCAGTCATTTTTGGCCAACTTTGCTCCAAATTATCTAGATGGAGATCGCTCATGAGATTGTTTTTTACTATTTTGTTTAATAGAGCACAACAAGTTGTACAAGATGGCCAAGTGTTGTTTCTCTCAACAAAATATTGCCGGAGATATTACCGTATTTTTCGAAGTATAAGATGCACCTGGACTGATGGGGTTTTTTTAATGAATTTTAAACTGTTTTAAATTGGATTTTTATTTTATATCGTTTTAATAAGGAACTATGCATTTTATCATTGTGAGCCGCCCTGAGTCCTCGGAGATAGGGCGGCATATAAATTGCATAAAATAAATAAAATAAAATAAATAAATAAGACGCACCTTAGTTTTTGGGGAGGAAAATTTAATTTAATTTAATTTAATTAATTCAATTTATATGCCTCCCCTCTCCGAAGACTCAGGGTGGCTTTTTGGGGGGGGAAATAAGAAAAAAGCTGATTGGCAAGTGGGTCGGCCTCCTGGAATACCCCCAATCAGCTGTTCCCAGAGGTGAATTTTAGCAACAGGTTCCTTGGTTGTAAGCTCTGTGCCTTGCTTTTTTCCCCCTTTTTTTTCCTGCCTCTGAAAGCCTCCAAAACAGCTTCAGAAAAAAAGCCTCTGAAGCTCTGTTTGGCGGCTTCTTTTCTGAAGCGTCGTTTCTGATGCTTTTTTCAGCCTCTGAAACGTCCATTTGAGAAGCCGGGCAGGGCTGCATTCGGAGTATAAAACACACCCAGATTTTCACCCTCTTTTTTTGGGGAAAAAGGTGCGTCTTATACTCCGAAAAATACGGCATGTCTCAAAGTTGCTGAAACCTCAGAATCATACTGTTGAAGGCTGCGGTATGGGGGGGTCAAACAAATGACTATATCTCCGCAAGTATTGCATCGGCAAATGTAACACTTTACCAATGTTCATTGGGGATTTGTGTGCATGTTCACACCAAATTTCATCAAAATCCGTGATGGTCGAGCTGGCCACTTTTCTGAAATCGGACCATTTGACACGGAATGACCCTTTAATAAGAGATTGGACAACCATTTGTCTGAAATGGTATAGGGCAGCGATAGCTAACCTTTTTGCCATCGCGTGCCAAAAGCAGGGGGAGCACAGGGGGGTCGCGCGTGCGCACACCCACACCCATAATTCAATGCGCCCCACCTGCCGTGCATGCATTCATGACACCCCCCCATACAACCCCCGCTTTTGGCACGCAATGGCACAGTGGGCACGGTAGGCCTGTTTTTCGCCCTCCCCATACTCCAGAGGCTTTCTTGGAGCCTGGGGAGGGCAAAAACAGCCTTCCCCACCTCCCTGGAGGCTGGGAATGGCCCGTTTCCTGACTTCCAGTGGGCCCGGAAGGCCCGAAAATCAGCTGGCCGGCGCACACATGGGTGCTGGAGCTGAACTCGGACAACACTTGTCTGCCCACAGATATGGCCCTGCGTGCCACAGGTGGCACACGTGCCATAAGTTCGTCATCACGGGTATAGGGTCTTGAGCAAGGGGATCAGCTGGTTGGACTAGAAGACCTCCAAGGTCCCTTCCAACTCTGTTATTCCACAATAAGCCTGGTTTATTAAGTTCAGATATTGATGAAGTGCTTACACCTGGCAACAGAAATCAGTGGAGAATTCTAGATAGGGAGACAAAAAAAGGAATTCATTTGGTAGGTTCCTTGTCAAGATGCAATGGAAGAACTGTTTTAAAAGCTGAGATAATTAGTTACCACTTCAAGATCTTAGTTACCACCTTTAGAGCGCTCCATGGCTTAGGACCGGGGTACTTACGAGACCGCCTTCTGCCACCAATAGCCTCTCACCGCCCAGTACGCTCCCATAGAGAGGGGCTTCTCAGGGTGCCGTCAGCCAAACAGTGTCGACTGGCGGCCCCCAGGGGGAGAGCCTTTTCTGTGAGGGCACCCACCATCTGGAATGAGCTCCCCCCAGAGATACAGAAGATTCCGGATCTGCGCACTTTCCGCCGTGCCCTCAAAACATTCCTGTTTCAGCAGGCCGGCCTGGCCTAACTTTCCCTTTATATTGCTTTTTTGATTTTATTTTAAACTGGGATGTCTTGAATTATCTAGGACCAGAGTGTTTAGTATATTTTAATTGGTTCTTTATTAACGTTTGTATTACATGTATTTTTATCGTTCGCTGTTCACCGCCCTGAGTCCCTTAGGAATAGGGCGGTATATAAATTTAATAAATAAATAAATAAATAAAATAAATAAAATAAATAAAAATGCAAGGTAAGGTTCATTAGAGCCATGGTGGTGCAGTGGTTAGAATGAAGTATTACACGCTAATTCTGCTGACTGTTGATCGCCAGCAGTTCGATCCTCAGCGCCTCGGGTTTGACTGAGCCTTCTATCCTTCCGAGGTCGGTAAAATGAGGACCCAGATTGTAGGGGGCAAGAGGCTGACTCTGTAAACTGCTTAGAGAGGGCTGTGAAGCACTGTGAAGCGGTATATAAGACTAAGTGCTATTCCTTCCTTCCTTCCTTCCTTCCTTCCTTCCTTCCTTCCTTCCTTCCTTCCTTCCTTCCTTCCTTCCTCCCAATAGTTAGAATACAGTATTGCAGGCTAACTCTGCCCACTGCCAGCAGTTTGATCCTGACTGGCTCAAGGTTGACTCAGTCTTCCGGTCTTCCGTGGTTGGTAAAATGAGGACCAAGATTGCTGGGGGGCAAGAGGCTGACTCTGTAAACCACTTAGAGCTGTAAAGCACTGTGAAGTGGTATATAAGTCTAAATGTTATTGCTATTTATCCACCAAGAAGCAAATTAGAAATTTCCCAATTCAATGTTCCTTTGTACAGAGGCATCCTGATAGATTATAAAGTTGGGGGCAATACGGATTTTTAAAAAAGGGGGAAAAGAAAGAAAAATATTATGGCAAAAGGGAATACACGAATTGAAAAATTGTTTAAATTTCTGATCCGGCCAATACTCTGTTCAGAAAAAATATGTGTGTGTTTGTCTCTTTGTTAAAAAATTTTTAAAAAAACTTTTTACAAGAATAGATTATAAAGTTGAAAACAGAGGTGTGTTAAAGAGGGAGAATTTTAAGGGGTGCCACCCCCAATATCCATTGACTTAAATTTACTGTTTGATGGTATATTGCAGATCAGAGTTTCGTACTATGAATGTAACGACAAGGTCCCCATCGCCAAAGCGATTCTGCATATTACCTGCATAGGTAAGCTGGCAGGGATGCAGAGCTGTGGCACAGCCCAAAGGGTGAATTGGGGGGAGGGAGGCTATAACTCAGCAAATCTGAATCAGTGAATCCTGTCCTGATCAGACTGGGATCGAACACGGAAAAAAGAAAAAGCAGACAACTAATCAACATGGCCTGAAATATACTTTTCTTACAGAAAAAATGAGACTGGGGTGCAAGCAGAGGCTTTGGGTGGGAATAATTTAAAAGTTTCTTTGTTTTAAACCCTCCTCCCCTCTTTGTTTTCCTGCTGCAGAAATGTCCTTGGATGCTGATATAAACCGTTTGGGAATGGTGACCAGAGGAGGGAAGCAAAAGGTTAAATTAAAATAAGATTTTTGGTTGGGGTAGAATGACGGGGATGAAAATATTTGTAATGTAATGCAGAGAGGTTGGGGAACTGATGGCTTTGTGGGCTGTTTCTCCTGCTGGCAGGGGAGGATGGGATTTGCGAACACATCTGAGACACACCTGGCTGGGGTGATGCTGTAATGAACTCACTCGGCTAATTACAATCATCTAAATGTAATGAATAAATACATAATAAATAAAATGGTCGCTGGATGTCTTGGAAAGCAGATGCTGCTTTTCACAAGGGCTCCCGAGACCCCAGATTGCTCTTCTGGCAGCTTCTGGAGAAGAAGGTGGTCATTTTTCATAGCCTCCACAAAGAGGAAGAGGAACAAATACTGGCTGAGGGGAGGCAGAGCCAAAGAGGGACCCCATCTTTGCTGATGTCCACCCTGACATGGCTTCCCATCCTTGCAGGATCAGTGGACATGGGAGCCAGATGGAAAAGGTGCCATTCTCTTGGTGAACTGCGACCGAGACAATCCGACAGCCAACGAGGAAGACAACAAGGACACCAAGCTGACGTCCAAGCAAGGTAGGCAGCAGCACTCATTGGCAGTTTTTCTCATCCTCCAAAGCTTGAAGAGGTGTGGACTTCAACATCCACAATCTGTAAAAGCAGTGTTGTAACGGAAGGACACGGTGCTGAAGTACAGATAGACCTTAGCTTATGACTAGGGTTGTGACTCAGGTCCAAGTAGGTAGTAATCGACGCAGACAGTTCCAAAACAAACAGACTTTATTAGAACAGCTGAGAATTAACTCATTCTCAGCGTAGTCCAAACTAAATTAAAACAAACACAAATTCTTCAGTCTAATCACCAACCTTGGTATAATTAGGCAAACTGCCAAAGGCTTCTCTTGGCAAAAGTTCAAAAGCAGAAGAGAGAGATAAGTGCAGCAAGACTATCAACGTTGTTTTCCGACAAAGAACCCAAGAGCCGTTGCTGGTCTTTTAAGCCTTATGGGAGGGGCCAATCATCTCTTGGCCCCACTCCCGAGTCGTCCTCTTTGCTTTAGCTGCTCCTGCCTTCTGGCAGTTCTTCTCATACATGCACTAGGAACAGGCTCCTCCTGTTCCTCTGCCTCTACTGTCAGCCTCTGGAGGCTCCAGAGTCCACACATCACTCCCCGAGCCTCCAGGACTGGCCCATATTCTTCCTCAGCCTCATCGCTGTCCGACTCCACTGCCAGCTCTGCAGGCTGCTGGCGAACCACAGAAACTAGTTGCATTTACGCTGGTCACAGAATGGGTGCTTGATGGCCTATATAATATCCCAAAATTATCGTATGGTCATGCCGTGGTCTCATGATCAGACAAGTAAAAAATTGTGAATAGCTGAGCTCATCAACCAAACTAAAGCCAGATTGTGGTTAATGAAAGCGTGAGGCCAGAAGTCAAGAGTTTCTGGCTCAATTGGAATTGAATTGGTTCTCCTTTTAGACCTCCAGGACATGTCCCGTATGATCCTGACAACTCAGGGACCTAATGAAGTTTTTGCAAACTACCAGCTGACTCTCCATATCTCGAAAGCTGATTGTGACAGAGTGGGAGTCTTCTACGCTCAAGGTAAGTGTTGAAGGCCAGCAGGCCGTTGGGCTCCAGGCCATAGGCAGATGAAGCCAAGACCCAAAGGAGAACGCTTATTGTAGATTCTTTTAAGTAACTATGGAGCCCAGATTTCCTTTCTATGCTCCTCACCTAGAGAAAACAAGGGAGTATTTTCGAGAGAATCAAGCCGATACCTATCTTCCTCGTCCTGCACCAAAAAGGAGGTCCATAATTTTGTTACGACAGATCAAAAATTTGACCAGCTCTCTGGTCACCAATGATAACCAACCACAAGTTCCTTTGGATCTCAAAGGGTTAATGTGCTTGGGTTTAGTTACGCAGATTGCCTCAAACTGCCAGATCTGGATGAAGATATGTAACTTTGTTTTCAAGAAACAACTAAATGAATAACAAGATTGGGTTTTGATTCACAGACAAGAAGGAACAGAGATATTACAAACATGTTCTAGGATCCGAAAAAATCTCCTACCATGTGAAACGGAACCTTGGTCAAGTGGAGAGTGTTTTCTACGTGGAAGGGCTGAAATTTCCTGACATTGACTTCTCAGGGCTTGTCACTTTCCACGCTTCACTCCTGGAGCCCGCCAAGAAGGTATGGAGAACATCAAAGAGAACATGGGGAAGAGTGGGAAAGAAGCACCTTTGACAGGGAAACTGAGAAAGCATCTGGAATGCTTTTCCAATCTTCATCATAGGACCTCTCTCTAGGACCTTCTTCACTTCTTTTTCATTTATCAGCTATTCAAGGGAAGGCAGATCAGGAAACAGACCCAAAAAAACTATAGGAATTCTATTTTATTACTGTAGAAAGTACGATGAACAGAATCTTGGAATCTTAAATTTACATTTCCTTTAGTAAAGAGGATCAAGATGGTATTATCTTGAGCTTCTTTCTCACCCCTCTTCCTTTCCTGAACTAAAGAGAAGGTGTACTTCTCTTTCTGTATTTTTACTCCAAGCTTAGCTCTGTACTCCTAAATCTTGTAACTTTTAAATGTTTAGAGGCATCTTTCTGGAATTCAACATATTTCTTGGTCCTCATCTCCTGTATTTTCCTACTTCAGGAGGTCCCAGAAACTTCCATTTTCACGGATACATTGGTCTTCCGGGTTGCTCCATGGATTATGACCCCAAACACTTTGCAGCCAGTTTCTGTTTACGTCTGCAGGTAAGGAGTCATGGACCAACTTACATGGGTGAAGTTTCCCGTACACCCACCGTTAACACCCTTCTCTCTCCTCTATTTCTGTCTTCTAACATCTCCATCTATTCTTCTGAATGTACAGTGTTGGTGACAATAAGGATTTTGTGGAACATATAAGGAAGCTTGCCATAAAAGCTGGATGCAAATATATTATCTGCCCAGAAGAGAAAAATCGAGGCGACAGATGGATCCAGGTAGGTCACAGACGAGAGGCTGTTTGGGATAAGTGGTCTGCCAAACGAGATCCTGATCCTACTGGAGAAGAAACTGGGGTAGTTCTTATCCTGTACATCATCCTCATCTTTTAATGACTCCATAAATCCTTGTGGGGTGGAGTTTGGGCAACTGAATGTAGCTAGCAGAGTGTTTAATGGATGGATGCCCTTCCTGTTGCCAATGCAGTTTTGTTCAGCAGATATATTCTCATTGTGCCCAGAGAGAGAAATATCTGCCTCTACCTAGGATCGAACTCACAGCCCTCCTGATTGTGAGGCGAGAGATCCACCTTTAGGCCACTGCACCACTCCTGTAGTTCTCCAGAGATGTTTTTAATCAATGCTATGTAGCATCATCCATTGGTGTGATAACATCAAAGATTCAATTGAAATTCTTATCCATATTCACGGTTCCCAATTATTTTCACACTGTTGCAATTAAAAACTATGCCAATAAAGAATATTTGTAGGTCAGGGTTGACATGAGGAGTCTTTGGTGCTCTCTGAGTTTCCTTGCTTTCTTGCAGACATTTCATGACCCTAATTAGGCAAAATCATCAGTGCTAGGAGGTTTGGGATGTGCAGAGAGGAAGAGGAGGAAAACTATAGGGTCCTTGGTGCTCTCTGAGCTTCCTTGTTTTCTTGCAGATGTTTCATTAACCAGCTAGTTAACTTCATCGGTGCTAGAAGGGAGTGGAGTATGCAGAGAGGAGAAGGATTATCAGAGTTTCTTGCAAAAATCAAATCCAGAAGCATACACAGATAACTGAATCAGCTGGATTCATTAACTTCTTTATATTCATAATAACACATAAAGTATATTTACAATACCAACAGTTGATTCTTCAGCTCAGATCAGCAGACATGTTCACACACAGAGTACGGCAGTGAGCTTAACACACACACACTGGTTTCAGTTTCTCTTCTCTGCACAGAATCAGAAGCTGCAGACTAAGACACGCCTTGGCTCCAGTCTGTCTCAGCTCCCAATTGGCTGACTTGGTTGCTATGCCTATTCATTGGCTGACCTTGTTACCGTGTCTTCCCAGTCATGAATATTCTGACAAGGATGACTATGGGGGTGCTCACTGATCTTGCTAGTTTGGGTAATGAAACGTCTGCAAGAAAACAAGCCAGTTCAGAGAGTAGCCTGGATCCCTCAAAACTATGCCTAAAACATTTTTGTAAAAAAAAAGTAACTGTAGTAAACAATCCTGAATTGCTTTGCTTTGCGTCTCAACAGATTGAAATCCAAACATAACTTTCTATCATCTATAAACAGGTGACACCTTTTTAATTTTATTTCAACTCTTCTGTCAATTTAGGATGAGATGGAGTTTGGGTACATCCAGGCTCCCCACAAAACATTTCCGGTTGTCTTTGACTCCCCAAGGAACAGAGGGCTCAAAGATTTCCCCTTTAAGGAGGTTTTGGTAAGTGGTTTCCCCCCTCCTCCCCACCCCGCTTTGATCTTGGCTGTTGAAAAATCACAGTTCTGCATTTATACTCAACACTTATTCATAAAAACATCAAATTTCATGATTGCCTTACTGATGTTCTCTTCATGAAAGATGAGATTGATAGCTCAGAAAGACTGGAGCAAGGTTTACATGCATTTATCTAACTCAAATCAGGGACACGATGGCTCAGTGGCTAAGATGCTGAGCTTGTCGATCGAAAGGTCAGTAGTTCAGCGGTTCGAATCCCTAGTGCCAGATAACGGGGTGAGGTCCCGTTCCTTAAAAAAAATGTAAAACAAAAAAAAAAATGTAAGAAAAAAATGTAAGTAGAAAAATAGGGACCACCTTTGATGGGAAGGTAACAGCATTCTGTGCACCTTTGGCGTTGAGTCATGCCAGCCACATGACCACGGAGACGTCTTCGGATAGCACTGGCTCTTCGGCTTTGAAACAGAGATGAGCACCACCCCCTAGAGTCGGGAAAGACTAGCACATATGTGCGAGGGGAACCTTTACCTTTACTTTTATCTAACTCAATCTCACAAATACAGCATGGATAAAAAGAAGATTGAATAAAGTGTGTTTGACACAGCTGTTCGTTTTCCCCTCAAGGGTCCAGATTTTGGGTATGTAAAACGGGAACTAAACTCCGAGGAGTCTGATTCTAGCCTGGACTCATTTGGGAATCTTGAAGTCAGCCCTCCGGTGAACGTCAAACATAAGGAATATCCCCTTGGGCGTATCCTAATAGGGGCATCTTTTCCTAGGTAAGTGATGACTGGAAACCATAAGAACATTCCAGTGGGGAAATCTGAACCCGTTTGCTACCGATTCGCTGGCTGCGCATGTACATTGTGTGCCAAAATGCGTGCTGTGTGCATACATGCACCAAAGGTGCGCTGTACGCACGCATGCGCAGTAAAAGAGGCTTGGGAAGGTAAGTAGGACAGTGGGGGAGGAATCAGCTGTGGTGCGCCAGCTTGGGAACCTTTTTAAAAACTTTTTTAAAGCATTTTTTACTACCGGTTCTCTGGTAGTAAAACATTGATCACGGTGGCTTATCTTATAATGCATACTGTTATGACTTAGGGTGGTGTGAATCGATCAGTTTTGGTACATT